AGACCAAATTGTCTCTCAGGTTTTTCCTAACACCAGCGTCTTATGAATCTATATGTAACAATTCATAATCAAGGGTTTATCTTTTTGTAGATGTTTTTGATGTTAGAGGATAATTGAAAATCACCTTTATTTAACCCTTTTTTCTGGTAATGGATATTAGAAATGTCGTAGAGGAGACTTGGCTAACCACGACTGTTTTACCTTCAAATTTGTAGTGATCAGGAATAGGGGAGCAGAGCCTCTCTAACTGACAGAAGCACTTCAGTCCCAAAAGAAATATGTGTATAGATACTTGTTTGGTCCTTAGATTTCTGCAAACTTGTAAGGCAGGTTTGTGTTTGGTTTTTAACTTTTTTTGTGTGTCATTTATTCCCTTGGCAGTTTTAGTGAGTTCGATGGGGTGCTTCTCAGAACAGTGTTTTAACTGTATAATAAAAGTACACAGGCCTATAAAGGAAGCCAATAAATTACATTCCCCAAATACTCATTAAATTTGGGATAGTCACCAGCATCTAATCCCTACAGTCATTTAGAAATATCGATTAGCTTAAGAGAGATTTCAAGATCTGCAGCAACTGTAGTGGGACAGCTAAGAGTACTGCTAAAATTAACCAGGTTTTTTCTCCTGCATTCATAATAATTGATGGTAAAATGCTAAATTTCTTAGAGGTTAGTGAAAGTAAGGATGTATCATTTTGTTCCCCCAACTGATTCATAGTCTTCCAGTTTCATGTTCTTAGATGATTCAATAACTCTGGATTCTAGGACCCCATTTTAATTTCGGTTTACTTCTGTTGGAAGCCTATGATAGGATTCCTTGTAGTTTTTATTTATTCCTTGGTTTACCTGATGTTCATTCAGAAAATAAATATGGGTTGAGTTCATACGTTCGGTACAGCGTGGTAGTAAAAAGGGGGAAGGTGAGGAGAAGGCTACCAAATGGAGTGAATTACTGTCTCTGCCCTTAAGTGTAGCTGCCAAAATACTTTTATTTCTAAGAAGCCAAGATAAATTGTATTGAAATCTGGTTGAAATCTGGTGTGGATTTTAGCTCTTTCTTAAAAAGTTTTGCCTTGTTGCTTGTACCTTAAGGTTTGGGAAACACTGAGAAAAATCCCCCCCATTTGGCCCGATTATGAATTGCCTGAAACTGTCACTTAAAATACAGATTCTCAGGCCCTTTCCCTGGAGAACGTTTCAGGTGGGCCATGGGGAAAACTGTCTTTTTAACAAATTTGCCAGATGGATTCTTATCAGACAAAAACTTAGTAGAGCTTAGCTAGATAATACTTAAACAGGTGCATAGAAACGTATGGACTAGGGATACTGGTAATTATTTTCGTGAAAGGGATTGTACTGTTTATTGTGTTGCCTTTGTTTCCAGGAAGGTTCTTCCCTATAGTCCGACAGCTTAAAGGGCTGACATTATCCAGACAGTTTTCTACAAAGAAAAGGGGTCTGATTTTTATTTCATCTGGCCAATGTAGATAGTGTGTCTGACTTACTATTTTTTGTGGGTAAAAATATTCGTATAAAAATTTCTTTAATATAGAACTTCTTTAGCATATCAGCTTTGGAAATACAAAATTGTGTGAAGAAATGATATATATCCAAAGGTGATAGGCCAGTTTATCATTGCAAAAAAGCCCATCTGTTAAAGGCACTGGGTAAAGTACTTTGCATTTGTACTTACTTTTCAGGAGGCATTTGAAGGAATGATTGAAAAGAACTAGCCTGTGAGGTACATTTTGTGATCCTCACCTAGAATTGAGCAAATTGAGGCTTAAGGAAGCCAAAGAATGAGCCCAAGGTCACAGAGTTGGTGAAAGCCAGAATTGGACTCCGTGTAGCTCTCATTCCAAAGTCTATAAATGTAGTGGCCAAATTTTTAAAAGAATTGGAATTTTGCACCATAATCTCTCATGGTGTGTGTTGTGTGTGTGTGTTTGTGTGTGTGTGTCTGTTTCCATGTGTGTGTCCCTATATGCACACGCATATACCCGCATGCATTAATGTCCTTCTCGGATGCCTTTTTCCTTCGTTCTGTGTCTGCTTCTTGATCCATCTAGTGCTCTTCAAGTGTCAAAATCAAGAAATTTATTTTTACTTGTTAAATATTTATTTGTTATATACTTGTATGTTATATATATGTTATTAATTTGTAATTGATAATGCAGATAATAGACTTCTATTTCTTTTAAAGGTCACATTGTCTTTTTTTGCCTTTTGACGTATGAGTTTATGATCCTAGACGATAAAATTCTATCCCACTCAGGATCTTGGTACTCACCAGAGCTAATTATTTAAATAATAGCCACTGTAATAAAAGTACTCTAACTTTGGTCTTTTAAGAGGACCAGAGCATGGCAGTGGGCAGATAACAGTCAACAGCTATTAATTTAGTACTTGATGGTTGCCTAAAGCTGCTGAGTGCTGTGGAGGATACAGGTAATGGGGTCTCTGATCACCCCTGCAGAGTTGTGTGAGGGTGGGGGAGACCTCCTGACTCCACGGGGAGTGTTGGGGAAGTGAGCGTGCTCAGCAAAGGGAAAACCAGTCGGCAGGTGGCCGGAGTCCTTTCTGCTGCCACTGTTGGGTCACATCAGTAAACTCAGCCCACTTCGTGTGTGGGTTGGGGTCTGAAGAAAGGGAGAGAAGCCACTTCAGTCTTCCAGTATTCTGGCTGGCCATACTGTGGGAAGGGGCCATGAGAATGACACCGCGTCTGAATTTGGCTGGCTGGTGCGAGGAAACTTCTCACTCATCCTCCCGGGTCTGTAGAGCTCTTTCACACTCTCTGTGCTGTGCAGAAACCCTGCAGGGACTTTGTACAAGGGATTGGGGCTGCAGGTGAGAATGAAAGGTGCCAAGTGACGGGGACACAGGGCTATACCTTGGGGTCCCAGAAGATGACGCTGCTCCCGCCATTGTCCTCCGCCTTCTGCGGCAGGCATCTGTAGCACCTGTCACAGAGTGAGACCTGGAAGGGTCTGTCTGAGTTGTTGGGAGACCAGGGAAGTCGTTTCCCTTCATGCTCTCTCTGTGTTCATGTTTTGAGGGTCCCCCCTCCCTTTCAGTTGACGAGCCGTTGTCGCTGATTCAGTTTCCTTACTGTGGTTGTTGCTTCCTTGGATGAAAGGCCATAACACATCGGACCCTCCTTCGCCTCTTCCCCAGCTTCTCCCTGTCTGGGCTAGAGACTGAATGGTGTGTTTTTCTCTTTCCTGTGTACCCTCCTCACACCCGGCCATTTGTGGGCCAGCTGTTCTGGGGAGACAGCAGCTGCAGAGCAAGGAAACTGAATGCCAGGCTCTTTCCTAAGGGGAGAATTCGAGCTGCTCCCCAACTTAGCACTGGAGGTACCATGGGAGCGTCCCACTGACCCTCCGCGTCGATGGGCCGTGCAGCTGGGACACCAGTAATATGAAACTCAGCCAAGCTCTGGTAGTTCTTTATTGAGACGTTTGGATATCACCAGTTTTAAAACAGAGCATGCACACCTTGGGTCCTTGCTGTCCTGAGCTCAAGCCGTGAGCAGTGTAGTAAAACCCACTTTGTTTTCAAAGCCGCCTCTTACCACTTTTTAATAATGGGAGTTAATGTTCTGTTGTTCCAGTTCAATAGGATTGTTAAGACAGTAGGCTGTTATTTTCTGCCTAACGACAAACATCTTAATTATTTGCTTTATATAGCTGAAGAAAATTCTGTTTAAGCACAGATGTTATGTTATTTGGGATGCTTTTAGAATAAATGAAACTTATTTATTGTAAAGCCAATTATAGTTGACCCTTGAATACCATGGGGTCATTAATAAAGAGACAACTGTGAAGTGAGTATTTGAGTGGTATGGGTCCATTTATGCACAGATTCTTTCAATAAATACAGGACAGTTCTGTAATTGCTCATGATTTTCTTAACACTTTCTTTTCTCTTTATTATAAGAATACAGTGTATAACATATATAAGTATGCATTAATTGACTTATGTTTTTGGGGTAAGCCTTCTGATTAACGGGAGGCTATAGTAGTTAAGCTTTGGAGGAGTCAAAAAAGTTATATGTGGAGTTTTGACTGTGTCTCAAATGTCTTCCACATTGTCTGGACCTTAACTATTTCAGTTGGTATATTGTATCTTAAAAAATATATTTGTTCTGAGTTAATGAAGATAAAGTAAGGTGAACTTTGAGAGATTTGACTTGAGGAGGGCAGGGGAAGTAAATAATATATAGACAAAAAATGAAATATAAATAATTTTTTTGGTTGGGTCTTTTGCTGTTATCTTGGAGAGATAAACGTTTAATGTCCTTTAGGTGGTTTGAAACCACGTAGTCCAAAAAAAAATTTTTTTTAAAAGATATAGTGGTTTCTTAGAACCTTTCTCAAAGCATAGAAAGGGGGAAGTGAAAGGGAGTGCCTTATGATTTGGCTTCCCACTTGGCGTGAAGTTTAAAAAAGATGTTACATGAAGAACAGGAAGGACACGACCAGCTCCAGCCTGACAGTATTTCTCCAGAGCATTGTATAGTTGCAGGGAAAAAGAAAGTGTAGTTTTCAGTAGTTGAGATAATTGTGTCGGATTGGGGTGTATATACTTTGAAGAGCCAATTATTGTCCTTGCCTCAGCTCTCATTTCAGTGCCCACTGGGACTGACTGTTGGCAGTTCTGTTACAGAATAAGGACTACATGTAGGTATATTGTGTCTCATCATTTGGATAGACGTTTGCTTTCAGATGCAAGAAAATGAGGCCCAAGAGACCCACCTTAAAAGTGTTTCAGTGTTTTATCTATAACACACACACACACACACACACACACACACACACACACACATATTCAAAAACAAATCAATACTTAGCTCAGTGGAATGCTAATTGGTGAAAGCTGCTTAGAATAAGAATTTATGTTTACACTTAAGTATGTGAACTGTAAACTGTTCCATTTTTGGACTCTGAAATATGTTTTATGGCTTAATTAACCTTTTTCCCTCCCTCCTCCTGTAGAACTGGCTAGATCCTGCAAAAGAAATAAAGAGACAACTGCGAAGTGAGTATTTAAATAATCTTACATCTTACTTCATCTTTACATCTATTTCTATCTTTAATGAAGTTCATAGGAATGTTGACTGGAATACTAGTGATTTGTGCATTTATATCATAAAGGAAGCTAAGGATACTAACAGTATTTTTGTAGAATCATGACTTTATTTGATACATGGCTTAACGACTATTCTGGTCAGGAGGTTCTAGACTCCTAGTCCTAAATATTCCCTCATAATGTCTACCACTCTGAAGTAATATCTGACCTTTTTTCTGGGAAAAGAATGAAGAGCTGCTTTGTGTAACTTTCACTGTTGATATAAAGTCTTCTCTAGGCAATGAATTATGATGGCTTTGTCTACTTTGTTTTGGAAGTGTGTAATTGGTTTAATTAATAGTCTTGTCTCTGGCCCCAGAGGCGTAGACACATGGCTCCTCAATGTACTGGAGCGCAGACTCCAGGGCAGGAAAGGCTGGGCACACCATCTCTTCAGTCCTCTGTGACGACCACCTTCTCTACTCTTTGTTCCACTGTCCAGGACCACTCTGCATGCTCTTTGCATCTGGGTTTCTAGTCCGTCCTGTTGCATTTCCCCTTTGCTTTCATGGTAGACTTCCGAAGTGACTTGAGCTGTGTCCCCTCACCAGCCACCGCTCCTTCAGCGGGTCTGCCTCTGCATGTGGCCTTGCCCATGGCCGGTCTTAGGATATCTGTGCCAGGAAATGTCATTGCTCCAGAAAACTCTCTGCTTGGGATCCGGATACTCAATTTACTTCAGTGTGGGTGAATGACCAAATAGAAAAGGTAGGGAGCCATGAAGAGCTGAAATTTTTAGAAAGGAGAACTCCGTTCTCACCAGCCCTTCTAGACTGTGGGCCCCGGAGCTGTCCAGGGAGGAACCATTGCTCTGAGCTCCGGCCTGCGCGACACACTTTGCGCTGTTGGTTTCATGCTCTGCTGATTGATTATTTCCAACATCAACACACTGTAATGAATCTGTATGCTTCTCTTCTGTCCCTTACCGTCCACCTTCTGTCTCATGTTAGGGCCTCCATGGCTGTTTTCTTCATTTCTTTTTCTTTCTCCCTGAAATCCTTAATCTTTTTGGTAGTTTGCCTATCGTTTCTTCTCTGCTTCCTTTTATTTTTATTTTATTTTATTATTTTTTTAAAGATTTTATTCATTTATTTGACAGAGAGAGATCACAAGTAGACAGAGAGGCAAGCGGAGAGAGAGGAGGGAGCAGGCTCCCTGCTGAGCAGAGAGCCCGACGCGGGACTCGATCCCAGGACCCTGAGATCATGACCCGAGCCGAAGGCAGCGGCTCAACCCACTGAGCCACCCAGGCGCCTCTGCTTCCTTTTAAAATTCTGAGCATAAACCTTATTTTCCCATTTCTTCTCCTTGTAGACTCCTCTTTCTCTTCCTTTTTAAAGAAGATATCGTTGAATAGAATGACTTTCCTAATTCATCCAGGACGGGGGTTTCTCGGGATGTAGGACTTTTAGTGCTGAAACACCAACAATCCCGAGCAGACTGGGATGGTCGGTCACACTGACTGTTATTACTCCTGGCTTTCCAGCAGCCCTTCCCAACCCTCTCTCTTCCTTTATCCATTTATGCTTGGTTCATCATGGAAAAGGGGGAAGAAAAGAAAAGGAGTAGTTAGACACATAAGCGTTATGCTGACATTATGGAAGAAAGGAGAGCCTTGGAATGTTTCCTTTGTCTTATGTATGGTTGTTCTAGGTCTGCAGAGTACATGAATTCAAAAAGGTACGGATGCTTGGTTCTTTGGCTTTATCTGAAACCAGACCTGCCAAGTAAGTGACCCACACCATAGCGAGAACAGGATAACCTCTGAAATGTGATTGATGTTCCATTGACTTGTTTCCTCCCCAGAAGCCCTACAGGGCATCCTGGTCTCTCTCGTAGCCCACCCCCCACCCTTGGCCATCTCCTCCTCTGGCATGGTCTGGTTTTGGCATTTTGTTGAGTATGTTTTTGTGTTGCTCGTTTGAGAGTCCTGGAAAGTCCTCGTTTTGGGGAGGTAAGACTCTTGCTGATTATGAATCATGGTCTTGTGTTTTGATTATTTGTGAAGTTTTTTTAGAGTTATTTCAGGACCTTTGCCCCTGTGGTTTGGCAAGAGGAATAACAGTAACAAATAGCATTTGGCTTTTTTGGATGGTTGGAGCTGGTTCTCTAAATGGAATCCTGGGCTGTTCCTATGGGGAAAGGAGGCTGAGGAGATTGTTTTAGCTGTTGCCTTTACCTCTGCTCGTGTCAAAATGGACCAAAGAACTGCTTAGTTTTAGGCTCCCCCAGCTGCTCTTATACTTTGTTACTTTTCACTTAATACACACATAGCAAAAGTAAACGTTCATCTTTTTTCACTGACTTGAAAAACTGACAGCTTCTTAGTTCCTGTTCAAAATTTTCTTTAAAACCTTCCTCTGATGTACATGAATAGGACATGCATGGGATTCCTATATAAATGGTCCATAGCTAGATGGACCATTCACACATTGCCAGGAAATTTTGTGGCCACATTTAATGCACAGTTTAGCATTATTAGTGCTGAAATGTAAGTGTTCTATTAGAAACGTCTCCCTGCAGTCCTACCCAGGCAAGCGTGTGCTCATGGTACAATCTGGAAAACAGAGAATAAGGCTCCATTAAGAACTGATGATCCTGTGCTTGACTGCTTCGTTATCGGTCGGCAGTCACCGTGAAGAACGCATATTCCCACCCTATCGACCATTAGTTGAATGTTAATGTACAGACAGCAGTGTTTTAACTAGACTACGTCATTTCTGACATGGTTGTTTGCTCTGTTCATTTGTTGCGGTGCAGTACAGCCAAGCATGTGTTACATATGATGAATATACTTACACCTGCCCCATGAAACCTGAGAATAATTCTGTTGTAAAATATTGTGATATTTTACTGGTCTTTCCCTTCTTTGGGATTTCTTTGAACATTTCTTTAGCTTGCCCATTAATCATTTCTTAAATAGCTACAGTGATCAATGATTATCTCCCTTCTCCCAACAATCTGCAAATCTTAAAATACTTTAAAAAAAAAAAAACAGTAAGGAATACTTGGCATGTAGATATACGGTGGTTAAAACAAACCTTAAAATGATTACGTGGAGGTCATAGTAAAATTTTTGCATAATATGTCACCGTACAAAACATTCAAAGTATTAGTAAATGTTTATTAAAAAAAAGTGAATCTGGGGTCCCTGGGTGGGGCAGTCTGTTAAGCATCCTATTCTTGACTTCAGCTCAGGTAATGATCTCAGGGTTTTGACCCTGAGCCCTATTTTGGCCTTGAGCTCAGTGGGCAGTCCCCTGGAGTTTCTCTCTCTCTCTCTCTCTCTCTCTCTCTCTTCCCCTCCCTGCACTCTCTCTCAAATAAATAAATCTTTTGAAAACAAAAGTGAATCTATTCTCTAATAGTGGGTTATGTGTGTAATTTTTATTTTTCATTGTTTTTATAAATAGTTTTCTTAATACTAAAAAATTAAATTCTCCAAACTGATTCATAGTAGGACTGGCGTGTCCTGTTTGAACATTAACATTTAATTTTTATCAAAATAAGTGGTCATTCTGTTGGTTGAATAAATAACCATATTTAATAATTACAGATCTTCCTTGGCTGTTCACCTTTAATGTGAAGTTTTATCCTCCTGATCCTTCTCAGTTGACTGAAGATCTCACCAGGTACTTTATCCTTATATTTTAAAACAAATCCCTACGTACAGCTCTCATTTATTTTTGTGCATGGGAGAATAATGGTAATTTCTGGATCAAAACCAAGATATTTTTTCATAAGTGGAATTCTAGATGTTTCCTTGGAAATGAGTGTACTCCAAAATAGTTGGAAATGTTGCCAGTTTCAAAAATTTTAATCACTTTTTAAAAATTTCTCCATTTGCCCTTGAGTAATGGAATATTAAAAAATTATAATTCTGACAAGTTTGTTTCTTATGTTACACTTTTAAAAATCATTGCTATTTAATATTTCAGGTTAATACCAAGATTGTTTTTATTATATAATCCTTGTGTACCTCTGTACTAGTCTCCTATCAATCACAAAGGTGATAGAAGTGTAGAAAAAAGAAATTATTTTGAAAAGCCCATTTTGGTGGGGGGTGGTCTCCTACCTCAAAGGGAGGGGAAAAAAACGTAATAAGGTAGGCTTTCCTAATAGCTATTTCATTTCCACCTCCTTTGAGGTTGGGCTATACAAACAGATGCTTAAATTGCAAAAAAAAGATTCAGTTGAGGAGCCAGAGCATTTACTGATTCTGAGAGTGACTGAGTATCTGAATAGTAACCAAGGAACATTTGAATCCCCAAGAGCCTTGACCTCTTAACCCTATTCAGCGTGGTTACCAGCGATAGGACTTACTAGCTTTGGTAAGAATAGGTGCGTAGATTACATGGTCAAGGAAAACTGTGTTCAGAATACACTTTTCGAAGGGCACAGGGTCTTACTGGAAAACTCTGCTTTGGATTCCTGTGGTTCCTGTGTCCTTGATGCTTTCTGTTAGTCTGGTCTTGTGGTCAGACATCAGGTCCTTTCAGTGCTTAAGGGTGCATGATACCCACGTGAAAGAGGAATGAGGAGTTTCCTTTCTAAATCTGGATAAATGACAAGTCTCCCCGCCGCCCACCGCTGCTTGTTGCTGGATAGGGGTTTTCTCATACTAAGTGAGCTGTGATCGAATTAGCTTCAGCTAGTAAATAATAGACCGTAGCCTTTGTAACTGCACAGTGAGCTGCTTGGGAGCATCAGGCTTGACGGGTTGATGTGCTCTGGAGACAGAGCCTCACCACAGGAATGCCTTTGACCGATGCAGCGGGATTTTTGTGACCCAGTTCCCTGTCTTTACACACACTTCTTGCCATAATTTGTTTGGGGGATGGTAATCCTCCTCTGATTGCAGTTTACGGCATCCGTAAGTGCTTGGGTTTTTCTTTGAAATGGGGCTTGAACAGTCTCGCTGTGTGTGGTGGGAGGAATGAGATAGTTTGTTGAGCAAATAACCGAAGGCCTCTGTAGGCAGCCTGAGACCAGCTACCTGCCTGGAGCCCAGATGTCAGGACCGAATCCTCCCCATGGCTTGAGTGCAAATTTAGAAGCTGAGGTGGCGTTTGAGGCATCGAGGAACACTGTTCAGAATATTTGAAGGTTGCTGGATCCTGCTCTGTGAAGAAGGTAGAGCTGGGAAGTTCAGGAAGCTGCCGGAGTTGTAACAAGTTTCTGGGCCTTCGACTTCGTCTTTGAAAACAGGAAAGAACCAGTGTGAAAAGTCAAGACTATTATCTAAAAAGAGAACGAGATCTTAGAAATAGATGGAATCTTTATGTTGAGGTCTTCAAAGTGCCATAGAATGTGGAGAACGATCCCTGTTCTTGATCAGACTTTGAGAATCGAAGAATACCCTGGAATCCTAGTTTAAAATTGAGTTTTCTAAAAATAAAATAAAATAAAAATTTAAAAAAAAGTTGAGTTTTCTAGATTTAATGCAGTTGTGCATGTGGTGTTTCAGGATCAAGGGAATATAATCCTCCTTAGAAAGAGCGCTCCTGCCATGCATAAAAATCCTCAGACTGTAGTGACAGTGAGGGGACTTCCACTCTTTAAGAAGACCATTGAGCACTCGCTGCGGGGCAATTACATGGCTAACTGTGGCAGTAGGCTGATGACAAACTAGGTCTCTGCCCCACCTGACAGTGGACTCAGTGGTAACCTAGGTATAACTGAACTGGGTGATGGCTGACTGCATGGTCCAGATTGTGCTGTCCAACCCAACAGCCATGGGGCTGGAATGCATGCAACAGAGTGCAGGAGGAGACTGGGCCGACACACCAGCAAAGAAAGAAAGAAGGTAGCTGGCCGCTAATAGGAATGATACGCTCTAAAAGACCTTCAAGGACAGGGGCATTCAGTTTGGAGGGGTCGATGGTAATCTTTATTAGCAATTAGTTAAATTCAAAAGTAGAAATCAAGTTTTAAAATGTCAGCAAAGGGGTGCCTGGGTGGCTCAGTGGGGTAGGGCCTCTGCCTTCAGCTCAGGTCATGATCCCAGAGTCCTGGGATCGAGTCCCGCATCGGGCTCCCTGCTCCGGAGCCGGTTTCCTTCTCTCTCTCTCTGCCTTCTTGTGATCTCTCTCTCTGTCAAATAAATAAATAAAATCTTAAAAAAAAAAAAAAAAGTCAGCAAAGGAGTAGGTAGTGCCCCGCCCCCAATTCCTCATAGAATATAAATAACATGGTTCTGCATGTCATTTAGTGGAAAATGGAATGTTTTATAACTGTGTAGTAAAACCACTTGGAACATAGAATAATAACCACTCATAACTTAACATTATAATTATAAAGATTATTCTTATTATGGCTATTAGGTATTGATTCCTAGATAACATGTGGTGTGTTTTATTTATATTATCTAATTCTTATTCTCACCTTCAAAGGGGGGATAGAATTCTCATTTTACAGGTGGGAAATTATCCTCGAGCTTGCTCAAGGTCGCACAGGGTCAGCTGGGCCTGTCCCTGAAGCTCATGTTTTTTCCGTTCTAAAGTGAACTAGCTGCCACTTTAGATGGAGTAAACGGGCAGTAAGGGCTTTAAAGTAAAGATTGACTTATAATTGTTGTCCAGTTTTCTTTTCCAGGAAAAGAAATTAGTATGAAGCGGCTAGGGAGGATAAAGGGTGGGTGATCTTAGCTCTTACCAATGCTCAAGAACAGCTGTTTTTAAAACTTTATTAGTCTTTACAACTTTTGAGGGACATGCAAATTTTGATTACAGTTTTAAATCAAAGGAGAGCAGTCTACGTGATTAGAATTTTTACCTTCAGTCACAAAGCTCTTTACTGGGATCCTAATGTGCTGAGTCTGCAATAGCAGCTCAGAATTCCCCTTCTGTTGCTTAGCCAGTTAGACTCACCTGCTGTGAATGAGCCACAAGTTCGGAGCCAAGGAGCTGGGTGGACTTCCTTTTCGAGAAGACGGTTTTGGCTCTGGGCATCGAGAGTTGCCCGTATTGTCTGTTTGGTTTCAAAGGCATAGGAGAACTCAAGGATTCTTAGTGCTGCAGTCCTAACTGATGTCCTTCCCCACTCTTTTCTCCCCCTCACTCCTCACAGATACTTCTTGTGCCTTCAGCTTCGGCAGGACATTGCCTCCGGCCGCCTGCCTTGCTCGTTCGTGACGCACGCCCTCCTGGGATCTTACACACTGCAGGCTGAACTTGGGGACTATGATCCGGAAGAACATGGCAGTAGTGACCTCAGCGACTTCCAGTTTGCCCCCACACAGACGAAGGAGCTGGAAGAGAAGGTGGCAGAGCTGCATAAAACCCACAGGTCTGGCGACTTGCTTCCCGAAGAGAGAACAGCTGTGGTAGATTTAACCCGCTTCCCTCCTCACACTTGCTGGACATCTGAGCGTAGTTGACAAGATTAGCCTGCTTGTCTGTCTGGAGCCTCCCTTAGTGCTAATCCAGACAACTTGTGGCCCTTGTTATAGCCTTTCATTGAGTTCAGGACTCTCCTGTGAAGAGTAGTGCTCATGGCCCTCAGTGCTTTCATTTGTTGGAAAAAGTTACTCCTCCCTTGGACAGCTTCTTCCGCCTCCTCCCAAACCTGTCCCCTAACACACGCACACAAGCATGCACACCAGACATACCCGCATATGTGTTTGGCATTTACTATGTATTCTGCCTTTTGCTTTTCTTCTCTGATTTGCTAAGGCTGGAGAGATAGTGAGGATTTGGGGTTTGAATCGGAAATGTGGCTGGTCATGGACCTAGGAGCAGTAACTGAAATACACAGTTGTTTCCTCCATCCACAAAAGATGACCTTTGCTTTAGCAGTTAGGCTTAACTTACTTACTTAATACCATAGTAAATATACCATATTACATTTCAAGAACCTTTTTATCTTTGTGAAAATGTGTTTTTTAGCACATATTTTAAGAATTCTCACTACAAATTTATAGTTTGCCCCATATTTCAACAGGGTTGAAATTTTGTAAAAAATTGACAAAAGTGCCTGGAAAGGAATTTACAGAAATTAGAAATTTTTAAACAGACCACATTCATTGATTTTTCTGTTAAAAAACCAAACAAACCAGTATTTCTTATATTATTAACTTTATTCCAATTCTACTCAATAGGTATTTACTGGATAATTCAGATTTGAAATACCAGGTCCTGAAATGCCATGGTCAATATGGAGTCTTTGCTTTGTGGGAGCTGAAAATTTGTGCAGTCGTGAATAGAGATGGGGATGGAAATAATTTTAGTATGGGCAGGATATGATATGTGTTAACTAGCATAGGTGTAAGATCAAATACAAGTATTTGTGGTCTGTGTTATGAGCAATCCTGGTGAAATAAAATGAGGTAGTAGGAAACAAGAATTTGCCTTTTTCAGAAAGATGAGATCACTTTTTTATTCTCAGGTAACTTATGTTGCAACCATTTCTCCAGTGGGGAAAAAACTGAAAGCAATTTTCTGAGATAATCTAAAATCTCTACCCTTATGCTTTTTATTTTATGAGGAAAAATGCCTGAGGTTCAGAGGTGAGCCTTCTTACCCTTTCCTGCTTATCTGCTGATTTTGTGGGGTTGCTCTCTCCCTGGGGATTCTCCGAGCTCATCCACTCCTTTCCCATTTTGGCCACATTTGCTTTGCATCTGCCAATAAGATAATATTGTTTCTTTTGATTCTCAGGGGCTTATCTCCAGCACAAGCTGATTCTCAGTTCTTAGAAAATGCAAAGAGGCTCTCCATGTATGGTGTTGACCTACATCATGCCAAGGTACTGTCCGTATGCTGGGAAGTAGCATCTTTCCCATCTGTTGACAGAAGTTCTGAGAGGACTCCAGTTTCAGAGGGGCCACGCTCACTCTTAGGAAAAGGCTGTTCACCCTCACCCAAGGGTGTCTAATATTTCTCCAGTGACTAACGGTGGGGTTTATGCTTATGGGAAGGACCACGGATTCTTGCCCTACTTTTCTCAGTGAATTCCCTCTTATACGTACTTATTCTAAGACTCCCCTGTCATCCATCTTCACCCCTTGTCATGGCTTATTTTGCATCCCAGCTTTTGTGTCCAGTGGTGCCTCTCTCCCAGCCCCCCTCCCACTTCTGTTGTGGGAGAGAAGAGCAGTTTCTGGCAACCACAAAAGGGCAAAAGCAGGATGGATGGAACTTGGGCTTATGAAGGAGCCTGAGGGTCAGGCTCTTCTCTGCAGGTCTGCAAGATGGAGGAGACTGGCCTAGGGTCCTGGGGAGGCAGCACCTGCAGCCTAACTTGAGAGGTGGGAAGAGGATGGAATGGTAGCCTAGCTGATAGGAGAAGGGGACTGGGTTGCGAAGATGCCACTAATAAGCATCACATACTTCATGACCCTAGTCTGGATGATCACAGGGTCGGGACGGCCCAGGAAGAGAGCTGGAGATCAGGCGGAAGGTGGATTTGGTTTTGAAAAATGTGTCCAAAGTCAGCTTGTGGAAGGAACCCATGGTTGCCTGGTTTTAAAAGACCCTGCCAATCCCTACCTGTAGCCAAGGAATCTCCGATTGTGTGATTGGAGAAATCTCTTGGAAAGCCTCCCACCCAAAGACCTCCTCCCTCACTAGGCCTCGGATTAATCATTCCCACTCTTGTGTTGTTAGTACTTCATATTTGCAAAGCACTTTTCCCCCTCAGTGGCTTCCTTTATTCTTTAACTGTTTCTCCTGGTTACAAAAGTAATATGTGTACATTACAGAAAATAGAAGCAAACAAGGGGGAGAAAAGCACTGAAGTCTCTTTATGCAGAAATAAGCACTATTGCTATTTTGATACATTTTCTTGTTTTCTTTAAAAAAAAAAAAAAAAGCACTTGACCTCTGAGGCATTGTTTTCAATAGGATCACACTACAGGTATCATTTTATGAGGGGTTTACTTTTACTGGTTGTTTTTTGTTTGCTCTGTTAAAAGATTTTTCCATGTCAGTTAAGTAGTCTCTGGGATCATCATATTCAACTGCTAGGTGCTAGATGCCTTTAATTCTTTTTTTTTTTTTTTTAATTTTTATTTATTTATTTGACAGACAGAGATCACAAGTAGTCAGAGAGGCAGGCAGAGAGAGAGGAGGAAATAGGCTCCCCGCTGAGCAGAGAGCCCGATGCGGGGCCTGATCCCAGAACCCTGGGATCATGACCTGAGCTGAAGGCAGAGGCTTTAATCCACTGAGCCACCCAGGCACCCCATTTTCTTAAAAGTACTTCCATGTATACCACCACATTTAAGATTTGAGTGTTTTGTTTTGTTTTTTAATTTTACAGCTGCATAAGACAGAGTGCAGAGAATGACTTGCTTAAGCTGCGTATTGTTAAGCATGCCCATATTTGCCTGATACCTTCTCATAAATTCTAGGGAGTAAAACGGGGCTTCCTATCACTTGTGTGTCTTCTAGCTCCTTTTTCTCTGTGATGGAGCCAGGCGGGGTCAGCCAAGAGACCCAGACAGGGAAGGCAGGAGAGAACAGGTTTGGGACCAAGAAGCCCTTGGATCTCTCTTCTTCTTAAATGCTATTACTTTGGCCATGTGTAATTTTTTTTTTTTATTTTAAAGATTTTATTTATTTATTTGACAGACAGAGATTGTAAGTAGGCAGAGAGGCAGGCAGAGAGGAGAGGAGGAAGCAGGCTCCCTGCCGAGCAGAGATCCTGATATGGGGCTCGATCCCAGGACTCTGAGATCATGACATGAGCATGGCAGAGGCTTAACCCACTGAGCCACTCAGGCACGCCGGCCATGTGTAAATTTTTAAATTTGTTGATGACTAGTTAGAAACCAGTTCTTAGATGGCAAAACTTGGCAAAGTCCAACAATTCATGTTTGTTGTTGTTTTTAAAGCTTTTATTTATTTATTTGATAGAGACACAGCAAGAGAGGGAGCACAAGCCAGGGGGAGTAGGAGAGGGAGAAGCAGGCTTCCTGCCAAGCAAGGAGCCTAATGCGGGGCTCAATCCCAGGACACTGGGATCATGACCTGGGCCCTAGGCAGACACTTAACGGCTGAGCCACCCATGATTCTTATTTTTTTAAGGTGTATCTTAGAAAAGTAAAAAAAAGTTGTAGTGGGCTGTCTTTCAGTATAATTTCCATTCTTGCTGTGGGGTTAGGACAGATTGCTTTTTAAATAAATTCAGAGTAACATTTATTCATTCTGTTTGTCATCTGATAGACTCATAATATTTGATGTGGAGGACACTTGTAGCATGTTGAGAAGAAGGTCTGTAGCAATATAAAATAATTTTTGGTGGAGTTTGAAGTTTGTGCCTTCATCTTTCATTGTCTCACTTATATTTAAATAAAAAACCTTTTTTATTAAGAATTCTTAATGGCACACTCTTATTGGGACAGGCCGAAGAACATTGAATGGAAGGACTCTTGACACCCAGTACAGGGAGACCACGAGACAGGAATAACTCTGAGCGCAAACCAGCAGCCCTCCCAATTCCTTCGAAAGGGTGAGGGCAGAGAGTGTTGCCAAATTTGAGAAGGAGAGATCTGTGTGTGGAGAGGATGGTCTTCAGAGGAGCTGTAGTTGTCATAGGGACGTGTCCCTGACCTCCCTCCTCTCTCGCCCCTCTCTTCTGTCTCTCATCTGCAAGAACTTTCAGAAGTCAGAGGGCCTGGGATCCTGCTGATATGCATAGGTCGCAGCTCCCTGAGAAGGAGCGAGCAAGGCAAACATGGTGCTCCTTTTTTGTTTATTTTTCTGACTTTGTTGCTGATGATTGGCAGAAGTCACATGTGGAGGACTAAGGCATGCTTTTTTCCCTTTCACTTGTTACTCTTTATCTCTAATTCATATTCACACAAATACTGATAATTCTGAAGCAGTATGCAGAACAATGGAAAATGAACCAACTTACTTGGTTCCAGATTGTGTTTTTTCTTAAGGAAGATAAAATAGCTTCAGTGTCCTGTCTGAAGATTTCTCAGACTAGAGATGACTTTGTTCAATGTTTCAAGTCACTGTTGCCTCCTTACTTGTGGTGAGAACATGCTGTCTTGAGCAGTCTTCCGGCCTGCTCCCTGTGGCCATGGCTGGTGATGTTTTTGGCAAACACATCATTTGTGGCTAGTGCCAAGTTGCTTGGGCACCTGTGCCTGATTCATCCCAGCTTTTTTTTCTGTTCCTAGAGAGAACTGGGGCTGCCAGATTTGAGTGAATAAAGCACCTTATAGATTAGATTTTTTTAGACTTGCTCGGATTGTCCAATGTAATTTTATGTGTATATATGAATTATGCAGGTATGGTAGCAGAGAAAGCAATTGGCATCAGTTGGTTAAAAAAGTAACCTGATTTGTTTTAGATGATTAAGTAACAAAGCTGTCGAAATGTTACACTTTGATTGAATATCAGACTTAGATTAAATGTGGTGTTTGTTGTAGCAGCTCAGTAAGAATTTCTGCCATGTTGTAAATGATTTCTGAAAATATGAATTTCTCTGAATAGTAATCTTCAATTTTACAAATTTTGAATGAGATCTAGTTCTTCCCTTAAAAGTTAAACAACGACCTGTGTATTTTGAGTGTTGTGCATTTGGGTCCTCAATATCACTTGCAATGTGGGGAGATCCTGTTTAACTTTTATCTGTAAATTTATGGGGTTCTAGAATATTCAGGCTTGTGATAATTCTGGATTGTCATCTACTCCAAGCTAAGATGCTGCGAAGTGAAAACCATTTGAATAAATTCAGGATTAGTCTGCAGTCCATTGAAATATGCCAGCCAAATCAATGCTGTAACGTGGACTGGAGGTCAGCCCTCTGAGTTATGGAAGAGCGGCTCCGAAGAATTCATAGATTTCCACAGTCAGTGTCCAAGGGACATTTTCTGTGAGGGATTGGTGTTTTGTTGAATAGAGGCATAAATTTAACAGCTATCAGCTAGCATAGTCCATCTGAAATAAATTTGCCTGAAGTAAAATGGCCAACCGCACCGGAGGGTGGGCCAACAGACCATCCCCCAGGGCTGGAATAGCCTCCAGGAAAAGCTCGTCTCTTCAGAATGTCTGCATTGAGTTCTGTTTCCCTTCTTCCCCATTAGCTCTTGCAGGCAGGCTGGGAAACATAGAAGTTGTGCCTTTTGGAAATTATCGTATCCTGTGGTCAGGTGGCTATACCTCTTTGACCAATCAGAGTTGGTCCCGGAAGATTATAGATTTAAGATGTTCTCTTAACTCGTTGACTGTCACTGAGATTTAAATACCAACCTGTAAAATTGGTATTCCTGGTCATGGTTTAAGGGTTGGGGGTAGGGGTGCGGATAATGGGATTCCTGTCCTTTGTAACTCTGACAGCTCTAACCACGGTCAATGACGGCTTAATGCTTGGCAGGACTCGGAAGGCGTGGACATCAAGCTGGGTGTGTGCGCTAACGGGCTCCTCATTTACAAAGACAGACTGAGAATCAATCGTTTTGCTTGGCCGAAAATCTTGAAAATTTCCTATAAGCGCAGTAACTTCTACATTAAAGTTAGGCCGGCAGAGGTAAGCAATGTCATGTGTGCTTGGGCATAACTGAACAGCTCTGGTCCCTGTTCTTCTTCATGGCCATGGGATAACTGAATTTTTCCCCACTGAATTTTAATAAAATGAACTATTCTTTATTCTTTTGTGGCAAAAAAAAGGCCATAGAACTTAATGATAAGAACTTAATGATAAGTTCTTAATGATAAGCAACATGAAGTTTCATGTTGCTAAAAACAAAACAAAACAAAAAAACAAGAGCCACCCATACCTTTTAGTAAAAAGGAAAAGTAGTAAGTGCCTGTCACATATTGGGGGGGAGGACATTATTTTGTTGTTGTTGAAACATCTAAGTGATAGAGATGAGTAGGAAGGTGGTAGAACGAGTTGTCATGGACAAGGGTTCGAGTCCGTAGTTGTACTTGCTTTTCACAGAAACTAGTATTGCAGTCTATGAAAAATTCATTTTGTGTAATTATACTGCATATACGAATGTCTCCTTTCTTCGAGAACTAACTTCTCGCAGAAACATCTGAGTCCATGTTTTTCAGTAGCTTCTCATCAACTTCTAAGAACTATACTGATTTAGTGTATTGATTTATTCTAGCTCGAACAATTTGAGAGTACCATTGGATTCAAACTGCCAAACCATCGGGCAGCAAAAAGACTATGGAAAGTGTGCGTGGAACATCATACCTTTTACAGGTAATTGTAATGCAACTGCTTAAAATTCATTAGAACAGCTATTGGTACCCTGTGTGTATTAAGAGGTGGTTAGGAAGAGAAGGACAGAGGCAGCCACACCCTATCTTACCTCGGTGCCACATCTCCTTGGCCGTGCCTTGTCCTCACTCAGAGTTGATCCATGTCTACGGGGATCCCAAACTTGGCGGACTTCAGCTACCTTTCTTACTGTCACCACACTCTCCAGGCCTGGCTGCCATCCCTCTTGCCACCATCAGTCATCACAGGCTTCATTTCACTGTCCTTACCAGCTCCTTCCCATTAAACTTCCTTCCCCAATCAGCCCAAATGCTGGGGGTCTGTCCCTTTGCTGCTCTGCCAGGATGTTCTAACCACGTGCCCATTGTGTACATCAGCCTGCCCCATGACTGGTCCTGGGTCAGTCTTGACCTTACCGTTTCTGTATCTGTGCTCACAGACGCCGCCTTCAGCAGCAACTATCCTGGTACACATGTTTGTTCCTTGTGAGAAAGAATCACTTAACTCCGCATAGTGCCGTAGGTTATTTCCCATGTCAGCTGGATCCTCAGAACTGCCAGGGAGCCAGACCTTTTCCTTCCTTTCCCATCACAATATCTGTGGTCTTCCTGAGTCCCTAGGAATCTGGCTTCTCTGCTCAGATGCCCTCTTTGCGTGGGTCACAGATTATAAAAGCTGTGGTCATGAGCATTCTCGGTTCACGTACCCTGTTTTCCCTCTTTTCCCCATAATTATTAGCATTCCCCCCTTTTTCTGTTCATTGTTCCCCTCTATCCTGTCTCAAGGAAAAAAAATAATCATTCCCCATGGAGTCTCAATTCTTCATTCTATGCCTCACATAAGATCATGCTTTGTGCGTCATGTACTCTCCTTGAGTGCTTTTGACTTCTTCTTTGGCCAGTAAACATGTCCATGTCCATGTCTTACTCCTTTAAAAACCAAAATAGACAAATAAAACCAGAAGATCTCCTTAGTCCCTCTAGCTGTCTTTAGCTTGGGTCCCATCTCCTTTTGTGCACGTCTTCAAGGGCATATTTCTCCACTGCTCTTCTTAGCTGTCATTTTCTGTATTTCCTCAGTTCATATTACTGTGGTCTGTATAGCTACGATCCTCCATCGTGAAGCTTTTTGCCTCAGACTCTTGCTTTGCTACTCCTGTCCTACCACACTCTGGGTGTGTGACTGTGGTAAGTTACTTTACCTTCCTGGGTCTCACTCTCGTCATCCGTGCGATGGTAATAATAGTACCTACCTTATAAGGTGACTTCAAAGAGTAAGAAAACACATGAAACAAATGTAGAACTATTTCTGGTATATAATAATGTTTCTCATCACCATCAGCAAAATCATTATTCTTAGTTTGTACTACAGTGTGCTATTTTTAAGGTGAATTATTAGCTGGTACAAGTGACTCAAGTTAAATTGACACATGATCTGTTTTCAAGATTGCTCTAATATAGTCATTTTAGAGAAATGTAACTCATAAAAGATACTTGAATCCTTCTGACATAGTTACACTGAACCTATTAATCTTTGAAAAGTTTGTAATTTCTCTTGGTAGCCATGACAAATTTCTCCTCAGAACAACGTGAGCCTGCCTCAGATAAAGCTAGTAGATAACGCTTATGAGTTAAATGACACACAGGTCAGGGCAGGACAGATAGCAGGCTTTCCTGTCAGGTAATGATAATGGAAACAATAATTATTTTAGAAATGACAGGTGCTACATTCATTGAGCAGATATTGTCGTCAGACACATGACCACTTGCTTTACCTTGTGCCGTCTCATGTATCACTCAACCCCACTGAGCAAGTGGCTCAAAGCTGGGTGCCCATAAAGGGCACAGGGGCCAGGTGCCCACGCAGAGCTGAGGACCTGGCTCTGTGATCCCAACGCCCGTACTGGTCACCTCTGTGCGGTCCTTCCTCTGGTAATTGTGTAGCAAGTGTTTCCGAAATGTCTGTTAGCCCTTCAAAACTCTAGGCTTCTCCATGTTTGCTAACACACTATGACTCCAATTTAAAAGTAGACCAGTTTGCTTCTGCAGACTTTTGAGATAATGGTTAACAAAAGGATTTTTAGATCTTTAAACCTTGTGCAACTTTTCTTACAAAGGATAGGAGATGGTATTTCTAAAGCAGGGCATTCATAATTCGTCTGCAGAGTCCTTTGAATCAGATCTGGATTTTGTTCTGTTTTTATCATGAAAGATGTAAATGATTTCTTCAGAAAATTAAAATGGCCTTCAGATTGAAGCCCATTAAAGATACAGATCTTTCTGTTGATCGATAGCCACTCAGGCAAACCAATATTAGCGGAACAAGAATGTAATAGTACAGTGGTTATTCTTCTTTGAGTGTTTGATAGGGCCTGTCACCCTTCTAAGTGCTGTGCCTGGATCAGTTCTTTTAATCTTTACAACATCGTTGTAATCTTCACTTTACATTTGGAAAGTCTGCGAAACAGAGAAGTCAGGAAATGTGCCCGTGGTCCCATAGACAGGCACGGGTGGAGATGGAATTTAGAGCCAGGCCCTGGGGCTCACAGTGCCCACTGCGTACCCGCTCTGCTGTGCTTCCTTCTCTCCTCCCCACCCCCCGGCTTTTGGTGGTGGTGGCAGTGTATAAACAAGATTAACACAGGCCCCTGGAGCCTGGCATTAAAACTGTCCCTTAAACTTGGCACTGTAGATCCAGAGTAAGTCAATCAGTGTCATCTGCCACTTCATAGAGAACTTTATTACTTAAATGTCTGATTGGCTTTAGTAACTGAAATGTGCGTTTTTCTTGAAACGTTCCTTTACTTTCCATAGGTAATTAATAATAAACATTATAATAATATAATGTTGAGATAATAGTATCTGAAACAATAATTCTTGATTTATAATGGGAGGATTTTTGTAAAATTAAAATGTTAACTGTGCTTCTTAAGCAGTAAAATATGTAAAACTTGATTTCTTTTGTGATGTCACCTTAGACTGTCTTGCTCAAGACCATTAGAACTCTAGAATGATTAGGTCATTATTATTTCCCAAAAGTGAAATGGTAGAGGTCTTGTAGTGATTTTGATGTTTTTATGAAGATACGTTCTCCTTCGGTAAAGAAAAGTAATGTCAAAAGGAAACAATTGTTCAATGATCTTGAAACACTTTGTTGCTTGGCCTGTATTTTGGTAGGAAATTTATTGGCATTACCATTGACTTAAGCTGCCAAAAATATTCTTTTAGAAAAAGCTAAATAAATGTCTGTGTTCAGTCCGTTTTTGTTTTGATATTTGCTTCTATTTAATTGCAACTTAATTAAGGATTTCTTTGTTGTCAGAAAATTAATTTGTAAGTTACTATTTTGTGTATGTGGTCACCAGTGCCATTTGGGTAAAGAAGTATTTTATCTCAAGTTGAAATAAAATAAAAATCCTCTAGTTAATGATTTTCCTAATCTTACATTGTGATAGATATATGCCTTTAAAATACTTGCCTTGTATTTCTTGGATTTATATTTTTGAAATATCTTTTACAAAATGCATAAGTGGATGATCTGATACGTATTTAAATGGCAACCAACCGTCTGTTACCTTAAAAACAAATTAGACTAGGGGCACCTGGGTGGCTCAGTCATTAAGCGTCTGCCTTCTGCTCAGGTCATGATCCCAGAGTTCTGGGATCAAGCCCAACATCAGGCTCCCTGCTCAGAGGGAAGCCTGCTTCTCCCTCTCCCATCCCCCACTGCTTGTTTTCCCTCTCTTGCTGTGTCTCTCTCTGTCAAGTAAATAAATAAAATCTTTAAAAATAAAAAAACAGATTAGACTAAAGAAATATGATTGTGTAGAACTCTCCTCACCTGGACTTAGATATTTAACTGGTTACATATCCCAGTCTATATAAATGAGAGCCCGCTTTCATAACTGGAGGAAAATATAAAACCAACAACCTCATTTTACAAGGGCATTGGGATTGTTTTATTAAATTAAGACTGAAATATTCAGCAGTAGTTCTCACTGTGTTAGAAGTTCTAGAACTTGTAGCCCAACTTCCCTTCTCTAGAATCCTGGCGTAAGACAACTCAAAAGCTGTTCTTCAATTCTGTTCTGAGAACGAGAATTCTGGAAAATGGATAGGTAGATGTGTCTTTGGATTTTCTGGCTACTTAAATTCAAGCGCCCTCCAGCCTGTATTTATTGAGCACCTGCTATATATGGGACCTAGCACAGATCTGTGTGAAGTTATGTAAGATAAACTAATAACCAGAAAATCAGAAAACACTGATGGAGGTTTTCTTAATTTTGTTTGAAATTGTTTTGTGAAGACTGCAGTTTCTCAGGTTTCTCTCTTTGTGAGTTCAATTAATTTTATAAAAGAAGAGGAGAAAGTTAAATCTTTAAAAAGATCTATGCCTTTACCTAGATATTCTTTAAGATTTCTCATAATTCCCACAAATCACTATCCTGTTTCTAGTTTAAAGTTTTTTTAAAAATTTGAGTTGGGTTTCATGAATCAGATTTGATAACACCCGTAGGCCTAAAAGGGGTGTTGTCACTGCTGGGGGTGGGGAGCAGTTACTGGAACTACAAATGAGAGTTACCAGTACATCCTCCTGTGAAGCTGATCGTTCTAGGAAGACCTGGCCTTTGGTTGAGAGAGGCAGTCAACTGAGGTGACCCTACAGATGGCTGCCAGATACCCCCAACCTCACTCTTCTCTTTACATCCTGTCTTTTGTTTTGTTTTTGAATAGTTACACTTTATTGGTTCAGATAACATGAGACCTGTCTTTTTATATGTCACACGTATGATACATTGTTGACTGTAGCTGCATATACGTCATGCATTTGATACGTTGTGGACTGGCCATGTGTTGTGCAGCTGGTCTCTAGAATGCTCTAGCTTTATCCTCACTGAAGCTTTATGCCCAGTGACTAACAACTCCCCATTTCCCTCTCCTGCCAGTCCCTGGTAACCACCATTCCAGTCTGGAATCAATGAGTTTGTTCCGGCTTCCTCATACAAGTGAAATCATGTAGTCCCTGCCTTTCTGTGTCCGGCTTGTTTCACGCAGCACCATGTCCTCCAGATCCATCCATGTTGTCATGGATTGCAGAATTCTTTTTCTTGTAAGGCCAAGTATCACTCCGCTCTGTGCGTAGACCACATCTTTATCCGTTCATTTCTTGGTGAACGTTTATGTTGCTTCCATATCTTCGCTATTGCCAATAGTGCTGTAATGAACTTAGGAGTGCTTCTGATTTCTTTTCAGGATCCCAGTTTCAGGTTTTTTTTTTTTTTTTCCTTTGATAAATATCTAGAAGTGGGATTGTTGGATCATATGGTAATTCTATGTTGAATGTTTTGAGGAAGCCCCATACTGTTTTCCATAACTTTTACATCATTGTGCATTGCCACCAATGGTGCGCAGGAGTCCCAGTTTCTCCACCTGCTTGCCAACACTTGTCTTTAGTTTAATAATTTTGGGGGATGGGGTAGTTTCTTTTAGGGTCATCAATGCATATTTTCCCTTTGAGGTATTCTTTAGAAATTCTTCGTTTTTCCTCTGGTTGATCTTCCATTGACTATAGAGTATACTTCATGAATAGATGATAAAGATACATGTGATTTAGCTAACTTGTTTTTCATGAATGAATATTTCTTCCCTTTTTTTTTGAGGGGCAGGATGAGAGAGAGAGAGACGGTAAGGGCAGAGGGAGAGGGAGAGAGAGAGAATCTTAAGCAGACTTCATGCTCAGCACTAGAGCCTAATGTGGGCCTCGACCTCACAACCGTGAGATCACAACCTGAGCTGAAGTCAAGAAGTTGGGCTCTTGACTGAGAATGAATACTTCTTTATCATTGCAGTGATGAGCCTGCCAGTGACCCTTTCTTTTCTATAGATGATTGCTTTCTTATAGAGCATTCTTAGATCCTCCTTAACTGGATTGCTAGGTAGGGAAACCCTGTCATAGTCAATGAGAGAGAGAGAGAACGATAAATGACCATATTTCTCACCCTGCCTCTCTTATTTATGATCAGGATGCTGAGAAATTTAATCTTTCTGTGCCTTTACCTTGACTGGAATCTGTTGTTGTTGCCTTTAAGCAGAAAATTTCTTAAACAAAAACAAAAACAAAAAAACAAGCCGAAGGTTTAAAAATACTTGAAATTGTAATGAACTCTTTAAGAAATCCCTTCCTGGAGGGACGGCTGAGTGGCTCTGTCAGTTAAGCATCTGCCTTTGGCTCAGGTTGTGAGCCCAGGGTCCTGGGATTGAGCCCCGCATTGGGCTCTTTGCTCAGCAGGGAGCCTGCTTCTTCCTCTACCCCTGCCTGCAGCTCTCCTGCTTGTGTTCTCTCTTTCTCTCTCTCTGACAAATAAGTGAATAAATGAAATCTTTAAAAAAAAAGAAAATGAAAGAAAATGAAAGAAAAAATTTTGATGGAGCTCATGTTCTGGAATTGTCAACTGAAGCCATCTTGTTTAATAAATGCTGTAAGAGCTCCAAGATTATCTTTGTTTATTAAGATGTTTTGCCAACTCGGGATTAGACAATGGAACCAGACAATTCCAATTGTATGCCAGACAAGATTGGCTTTATTTACTAAAAACATACTTTTGCATAAGCCTGAAAGTATTTGACATCAAGAAGGTTTGCCTTCATTTATTATGAGCCCAGGGTGTAAGCAGTGGAATTGTGCTGGCAAGAAACAATGTTAGTCATCTCTACAGATCTGCTGTGTGCTGTGTTCTTCAAGGGAAAGCATTGCTTGATGGAATGGATTCCTGAGTTGGATTGGATGTTCTTTCCCAGGAGAAATAGACATAAATATTGAGAATTACTAATGGTAATGGATTGCCACTTGGCACTTATAGCTAGAAGCAAGAATTCAGACATATGTGTTTATATAAATGATTTAAGCTAATACAAATAAATAGCCTTTGATATACACTGAGAACAGCTGCTCTTTTGCTCAGGTTGTGGGAAACATACTATTCATGAATACATGATTGTGGATTTAGTCATCTTATCACTATCCTAAAGCTCTGTATGTAGGAGGATTTATAAATAATGTTCTTTTTCATTAGAAACTTTAGGCAGCCTTTTGCTCTTTAAGTTGAGTAATCTTAGTAAAATGGGATATTAAAATATAAAGTTTCAACTTTTTTTAAAAAAGAAAATTCATAAAGGCTTCTATTTCAGTTCTTTGTTTCTCCCTACAGGCTTGTGTCTCCAGAGCAGCCACCAAAGGCCAAGTTCCTGACCTTGGGGTCCAAATTCCGCTACAGCGGCCGTACCCAAGCCCAGACCCGTCAGGCAAGCACCCTCATTGATAGGCCAGCGCCACACTTTGAGCGTACCTCTAGCAAACGTGTCTCCAGGAGTCTAGATGGAGGTAAACACATTTATGATAGTTTGGATTCCTTTAATCTTTCTCTGATCCAGTGGGGTCAGAAAGTGGTGATGTAGTTATTAATGAGGTCCTCAGAAACATCCTAGAGGGATAGCTGTTTATTCTGAATAAATAAAATGGTATTTCTTATACTCACAAGAAAAGTTTATAGTGTTTTCAGCTCTCATTCTGAACCTAAATTTTTGCAGTGTATGCAAATATTGAGAATTCTTGTGGATAAGATGTTGGAAAAACATATATCTGACTTAATTGTGATGTATTTTATGTGTTTTAATTTCTTAAGCTTGTTAATTCATTGCAAAAGTGGAATTCCACAGATTTTGGTATGATAACATAAGAACTTTTATTCAAAGGAACTTAAAATGTTCTAATTTTATGAGTTTAAAAACCCTTACTGAAGCTTACCAAACTTTCTAGCATATCAGAAACCATCTGCTTCTTTCAAAGACTAGTTGAAATGGAGTGCTTTAACAAAAGGAAGGGAAGTACAGTGTAATCACTAGTTCTTCAGCCAAGGCTGGGGTTGGGGAAGGGAGATTTGTATAAATTTCTATATTGTTTTATTAGAATTCTAATTAGCTACGTATTTGTAGTTTTATATATTTTACATATGGAAATAAATTGATATTCTTTTCCTTTATATATATATCTTACTATCCTAATTTTGGCTTAATAGCAGGTCTTCTGTAAAGGAACTAAAGTTAATTTTATGTTAGAATGCTTTATAAGAGACTTTATTTTACTTTGTGCCTGGAAGAAATTAATTGATGAATGACTTTCTCTTAGAAGTAGTTTTCCAACATTTTTTGGTTGATTAATCTCAAAACATACATAAAAATAGTAATATTATATTTTAAAAATTTGTTTCACTGCTATTGATCACCTAAGACCTTTCTTGGTTGCTTCTTTTACTGACATTTTTCCGAAATAGGAACTAGAACATCTTCTGTCTTAAGTGGCTAAAACAGATATGCTAGTAGATAAAACTGCACTCATTTGTGTGTGTGTGTGTGTGTGTGTGTGTGTGCTGTGTGTGTGTGTTTATAATTTGAGTTTTTGAGTATAGTTGATATAACAATGTTACATCAGCTTCAGGTGTGTAACATAGTGATTCAACTTCTGTGTAATGCTGTGTTTGCCACAAGTGAAGCCACCATCCATTACCTTACAGTACTATTACACTATCATTGACTGTGTTTTCTCTTCTGTATTTCTCACCGCCATGACTTCTTCATTCTGTAACTGGAAGTCTGTATCTCCCATGGCACTTCACCCTTTTTGCCCCTCCCGTGCCCCATTTCTCTCTGGCAACCATCAGTTCTCTGATTATAGGCCTGATTTTTAAAATGCGCTCTCATTGATGAAGGATTGACACTCCTCAGCCTTGATCTATTTTTCTTGGAATAAACTTGGAAAAGAGATCCAGGTAGACACACAGAGATCTGTCCAGGGATTTGTTGATGGGCATTTTTGTATATATAGTGATTAAATCTTGACTCTGGAGAATCTTCCATATAATTTTGAGATGACAGGTAGTGCAAGGGGTTCATAAATTGTGGTTCAAGTAAATGTCCACCTTTCCAAATGTGGTAATTTAAATTTAGTGAATTTTTCATGTGCAATAGCTGTCAGTGTATCTTTTAGCTCATCAACAACTGAGCACTTTTTTCACGTAAATGTGAAAAATGTGCCTGCTCATGGAAATATTTCACAAGCCTTGCCCCTTACCGCAGAGGATTTATATAAGTGCTGCCTAACTGCTGTCAGTGTTGGTTAATGCCCCGAGAGAAGTCATTCCTGCTGCTGGAATATTGCCTGTTTCAGCCTTTGTTTTAAACTCTGAGGCATTACAACTCTTAAATTGCAAATTCTAGAGTTTAGAAAGAGCAATTAACCACTGTGTTTTGACATAGATAAACACGGAAACCCACCATCTTGTACAAGTGGTGAGTGCAGAGGATTATAGTAGGTCTGTATCTGAAAACAATGATTTTTACAAGTAAAAGCAACAAACATGGCACAGTGATCCATTATTTTTCCTTTTGTGTTTTGGACACTGTAATTCATCAGATGGGCCAGTCATCAAAAGGATTATTGTGTTCTTGTGAAAAATAGAAGGCTTTTCGTGCCAATACATGATCAGACAGCCAGTGAACTATTTGGTGAGGGATTCCAGGCTTTTTCCCTCCCAAAGCAAAGTGAAGCTGTAACCTGGTACTAAACTGTATTTTCACCACCACTGCCCAGCAATATACCTTCCTGTTGTTGTTGTTGTTGCCATGGGTTATATTTTCTTGTCCCTGTTTAGTTTTTAAGTTACACCAGACTAATTTAGATTCATAAATATTCCTTACTTTAAGGTTTGGCAAATGAAAATAAATCTCCCAGTTCTTGCATGCAATTTAAAAATGAATGTGATATCTAAGACGAAGCATTAAAATAAAAATCTGTCTAGAACAGCTTTTTTTGAACAGTGGGATTCTGAGATTGGGAAATCAAACCCCAAAGGAGGCAAGTCAGTTATTTAAGAGAACAACCGAGATGCATCTGAGATTGGAGGAGACAGTGATGTCTGAAAATGGAGACTGTAATAAGCAGGGACCTGAGATTGGGCCATGGGAGAAGGAAGGCCCATCTGGGGAAGAACCATTTTGGTTGAGACTTGACGGATGAGGGGGAGCTAGCACTGAGTAGAGCTGGAGATAAAGCATTCTGGGTGGCAGAAGCAGCAGGTCTGAAGGTTTTAAGATGAGGGAGAGCTTGATGCAGGCCAGGAACAGAAAGAAGGCTAGTTAGAGCTTTGTAAATGATGGGGAGAGGTAGGCTGGGGACAGGTCATGCAGGACCTTGCAGGCCACGAGGAAGAATACAGTTTTTATTCTAGTGCTATTGAAGTGTGTGTGTGTGTTACACACATGTGTGCACACTTAAACCAGCCCGTAAGTGCACTATATTACCTTTTTTAAAAAATCAGTTGGTGCAATGTTGAGAGTGATTGACAGGACAAGAGAGGAAGCAGGCAGACTGGTTTGGAGTACTCCAGGTGAGAGGAATGAGGATCTTGCTTGGGCAAGAGTAACCAGTTGGCCGTTTGGCACCATAACCTGAGCACCTGTGGCCTCCAGGCTTCTCAGGGTTCAACAAGTGCTTAAGACCTAGAAAGGTTTTTTGTCTCAAAATGCAAAAAACCCCCAAAACAAATAGCCTAGCTCCTGCACACTGAAATTAATAAGTGTCTAAAAGCATGCAAAATAAGTATTTTGTCAACCTCGTTATATAACTTCAAATTTGATATTCATTAACATTTTGATTACCTTACAGCTTAAACCATTTGTAGGTCAGAGTTTCCCACTTTGCAATAATTTGCATATGGGCAAGAGGTGCTTAAAAATCATAATCATAAATTGAGTTACTCATAGTCCTAGATTTTCCAAGGAAGAGTTATTAAAATCTTTTCAAAAGTTAAAAATGCTGGGAAATAATTATGCTTCATGTAAGATGTGACTTTATTTTGCGATTTTGGTGTGGGCTTTCAGAAGTGGGAGTACTTAAGGACCACCAGAGTCTTAAAGTGGCCCAGGGTGGTAAAAATGCAGAGGAAGAACTGGCCACATTTAGATTCAGTTGGATTTGATGGTGTGGGATGAAGGCCGAAGGCATTAAGGTTTCTGGCTTGGTTAACTGGTGAACGTATGAGTGTGGTATCTGGCGAAAAAGGCAAGGCTGGGGAAGAAGGAAGGTTTGGACAGGGTACATGAAGAGTGGGCTGAGAGCTTTCTTGTAATACAGAGATTAGAGGTGCTTGATGCTTCCCTAGTTCAATATGGCAGATCACACAATCCCTGCCCTCTAGGAGCTTGCGGCCTAGAGGCCTTTGTGTCTACTGCACTTCTCTGGGGACATAGAACCACTGTCAGTCACCCTGTCAGTCAAGCACTTTTTATACAGGTGAAATAACCTTAGTCATTGGGGGCTTGAGGGAGAAGCTACATATGGACAGAGGCCTTGTCATTGCTCCTCACTTGCATTTGCTGAAATGTGATGCCCTCTTAGGTTGATCTGCTGTATGACAGAAATTTCAACCCAGTGTATGTTCTTGTTCATCTGCAGGAGAGATGAAGGAAATACGTGAGGGCCAGGTTTGCTGGGTCAGGAAGGTGTCTGTGTATTAGATTTACTGTAGATCAAGTTGAGGCATTCAGCGGGGAGGTTAGAAAAATGAAAACTATTAAACATAGAAGTTATTTCTGTAATACCGACCTTTCCAGTCTTGTCATAATTTTGAAGGGTACTCAAATTAAAGGTTCCTTTATAGAAAAATCTTAAAAACTTACCGAAGCAAGTCATTTTAATCCCTAGATAATTATTTGTTGCGGTAAATAGATTCAGAAATAAGTTCAGGCAAGATCAAAGAGACCCTAGAGAATTAAATATTGCTCACATTAGGATTCTGACATTATGCGCCATGTCTGTTTCAGCTGGTCTTAGAGCTCCTCCTTCTGGCCAATGATCAGACTCTACATCCTTCAAAAATCGGATTTGAGAGCCTGGTGTAGTTGAATGGGTTAAAATTCGGACTGTAATGAGAATTTGGAAAAGTTTAAAAATGGGTTTGATATGTTGGTATCTTCAGAGCTCAAGCAACATTCATGCTAAATGTCTGCATGCTGCCTGTTTCTCAGTGTAAGCTTGACCATTGAAATGTCCTGAAGTAATCCCGAGTGACCCTTCTTTCCTAGCTCCAGTTGGTGTTGTGGATCAAAGTCTTACGAAGGATTTTCCTGGACCTGCTGGGGAGGTTTCAGCATACGGCCCCAGAGTTGTCAGCACTGCTGTGGTACAAGATGGGGATGGCAGGAGGGACCTCAGAAGCCCGACTAAAGCCCCACATGTGCAATTCATTGAAGGAAAGGTATGGTAAATGAGCAGAAAAATGTGATCTTAAGTGTACTTCGACTGGAGGCTGTTACATTTGTTGTTTCAGAACTCAGGTATCATTTAGAATTAGTCAGCGTATGTTCTCTGTTGATAGAAGTTCTCAATATGTAGGCTTCTACTGGTTTGAACAGGGTCTCAAACATTTTTCTAATTGTTCAAAGCAAAATATTGCAATGTAAGTTATATTAATGCAAGCAAATAATTTAGTAGCCTAAAATTTTTAACTGCAAAATCATCCTTTTTAGCTAAATCCCTCTACTATAGGAGCTGTGGTGACTTGAAATTTATATTTGTTACAAGTAATTTTAAGTATGGTCTCTCTCAAGTATTTTAATTATGTTTTTTTTTTAATGAACAAAGATGGTTTTTATGAAAAGTATTATTTTTCATTAATGTCTAAGTGAAGAAGAAATTCTTAAGCCAAAGGTGATTATTTTGTGAACAGTGAATGAGAAGATGGTGTGTTGCTTATTTCCTTATTTGGCGCATACACTGTAGTGAATGGAGAAGTAATTCATGCTATGTTTTCAAATTTGTCACTATTATTTTATGATACCCTTTTTTACCTTGGGCAAGTACTTGGAGGTAGATTTGAAGAGGCTTTGAGTTCATCAGATCTCTCTTCTATATCTGCACAAAGCAACTTTTTTTATAGATAACATTGGAAGTGAACACAAGAAGGAAATGAAATCCTGCTATAGATTTATAATGTTTTCTAAATTTTAACTTTTGAAAAATGTAAAGACCTGCAACATGAATTTATAAAGAACCCACTAGATGAAGGAGCGGCCAGTGGCTCAAGAATTCCTGTCCTGACAACCTGTCAGCATGGAGGAGGGCTCAGGGACCACAGGGGGCCTTATAGGAACCCCAGGGACTCAGCCATCAGGTCCTCCGAATTTGCGACTGTCATACTAAAATTAATTATTTGGTTGAAAATAATTAAGTTAAAAATAACCAACAAGATCTCTTTACTGAAAAGTTAGAGTCTTTTATAATTATGCTAATAGGGTCCCCAGTGGTTGTTAAATCTGAAACAGGAGCTCAGCCTTTCAGAGTCTCCCTACCATTTTGCCTAGTTACTTTGATACATGCGGTTATTTTTAAAAGTTACTTTAAATTCCAAAGGAAATTCTGCTTAACTTCAGCAAATGACTGGGTGTAATGCTTTGAATACTTGTCAGCAGCCAGGTTTATGAGTAAGAATGTCGTTTGAGTTTCATTGGGTCTATTTGCAATCCGTCAGAAAATATTAAGTCCAGTTTTTCTCTTTAAAAAAGGATCATGTAATTCATGTTCTAACTGCACTGTGTTAATAACAATCCCTACTTGCAAGTACAAGTTTTCACTAACTGCCCATTTCTTCTCTTTCTCTCTTGCCTTTGTTTCTCCTTTGACCATATCTGTTGTGCGATTTCTCATTCAATCATGGGTTTGCTCCTGAGGGTAGCCTGTTCCCATGTGCCCACCTTCACCTCTCATTCGCTGTGTTTCATCTCTTTCCCCAAACCTTTTACCGGTCCCTGAGATGGACTTGCTTTCAGACATTTCGGAGGAAGACCCCTTTGGGGAGGCCGACCAGATCACACTAGACAGCTTAGAGCTCCCTTCCAGCGGTGAGCTGTCCGAGCTGGGGGACTGCGAAGTCCCTGCCCTTGATTCTGTCTCGGGTCCCATTGCAGCCCATCCTCAGCCTGACTGTCCTTCCACCCATGAGAAGCCTCTGAAGGAGGCTGACCGCAAGGATTCTGAATTTGGGTACTTTTCCTTCCGTTTCTGCAAATGCTTCCCACCTAGCTTCCCCTCCCTTCTTGATGACGATGGGTATCTTGCTTTCCCCAGCCTCCCCAAGGTCTGGGTCTCCTTCCTCCCCGACGATGTCCAGCACTACCTTCCCATTACCTCCCCTTCCTTCCTTCCTTCCCTCATCCTCATCTTCGGACTCCTTCTCTCTGCTTCTCAGTCAGTGCCTTTTTCTCTCACCTTTTCCCTTCCTCTGGCTCTATCCCTCTGCTATCTGGAGGCTAAAGCCACTTCCTTCAATGTTTCTCGTGACTGTGACTTGAATGACAAAACAGAGGAGGAGGAAGCAATTGCTGGGACTCCTACATAAGCTTTAATTTGTGGGGTCAACAAAACTCCAGCTTCCTAATATAGAGTGTAAACATGTGCATAAATTTCACCACTGATTACCCTCAAAATAGTATGGTCTGCACATTTTCACATACATGGTGTTTTAGTGCATGAGAAATATGTGTAAATAAGTACTTCCCCTTCATTCATTTCCATGGACCAGGTCCACACATTCGAAGTTGAGAACCAAGTTATGGATTATTTTGTAAATATCTAGACTGTACTAGGTCTTCAAAACAAAACAAAACAATAATAGGAAACCTCTGTTGCCCTTAACAATCCGTATTGGGTCTGTCTGTTTTCCAGACAAATAGCAAGTCTGTCAATGCTGTTCCTGTAGGACGGACACTTGTTTCAATATAGAACTTAGATTCTGTGGACATAACCGTGATTGATGTGTATTAGTAGAACTCCTTAGTGCCGATATTTCTCATTAGAAAGCCAAGCTCGTTCTTGCATTTATGAGGATGCATCTGTAACCTTTACTCCTGACATTTATGGGTCTAATCTCAGAAATTCCTTGTCTCCCTGTTACTGTAGCATTGGGGGACCAGATGAATTTCAGGTAGTTTTTTGGTTTGTTTTTTTTTTGCTTTTTTGTTTTTTGTTTTTAATGCTAAATCATGTAGTTTTATGAAAGAGTCACTGTCAGGTATTTGTAAGGAAGATACTACTCTTTAAGAAATACATATGAAAAATGAAACATGGCTTTTTGAAAATTTAGACTATTCGCCCTACGGTTGGGGCACATAGTGTCCCTTTAGTTAAGATTAGGTGTCCGGTTTGAGGATTTTTGCCCCTAGATAGGGCTACCTCTGCACTACAGGTTGGTGCTAATGTGTGCAGGATGTTTTTGTTTTGCTAAGTGTGGTCTGGTGACTTCGTGTCTCATAGCCTGTGGGTACTAGCCATACATAGAGAAAAATCACCATTTAGAACAAACCTAAAGAAAAATATAAAGACAATGCCATGATTAAGCATACTGGGAGAAACCACTATTCCCAAATGTTACCTGAAGAATGCCAAAGATTGGCATTTTAGAGAATTAAGGATTGACCAAGGAATTGGAACATGATTGTAATAGGTTGTTGGATAACTCTTACTTTTCCTTCTGATAAGAAGATACTCTGAGCTCCTGATCACCTCAGAAATACTTGATTTAAAGGAAAAAAAAAAAAGCGTTTTGAACTTTCACATTGAACACTCTCATTCCAGTAAAGAAGAAAAGGGATGTGCATGATCCTGCTATAAATTAACACGTGAAGTTTACCCTATTGTCTTTTGGTCTCAATCATTATTTTTCTTTTTTGTTATTCCTCTCCTTGAGTCCATAGTTATTAGGATTTATGCTTTTTAAAAAAAAAATATATTGAAGTATAATTGCCATACAGTGTTACATTAGTTTCAGGTATAACATAATGATTTGGCAATTCTATAGTCTGTCACCATATGATGTTATTAGAATATTATTGACTATATTCCCTATGCTATGCTTTTCATGTCCATGAGTTAGTTTTAAATTTGCAGGTTTTTTTTTTCTTTTGGGTCATTAGATATTAAGAATTATCCAACTATGAAAAATTATTCTTATTTAAAGAATTTTATGAAGAAAAAGTGGCTATAAAATATGAGTACTTAAAATACGATTTTAGCATGCAAGTAGCAAAATAAACCAATTTTCCTCCCAAAGAAAGAAATCTATGTTAAAAAACTGAATTTAGAGGGTGAATATTTGTCCCTGAGGTAAAATTTGGTTTTCACTTTCCATCATTGTACTTTGCCCTCATCCCTAGTTGATTTAGACTTTTCACATTAGGACAGATGGAATTATGCCATTTTTACACTCTCCTATTTTCATTTATGAGTAAAAACATTAAAAAACACCACATAATCTAGGGACTGAGAAAGAGTGAAGCTTCCATTCTCCATTTCACCTTTGCAAAGGATTCCTTCCACCATTTGTCCGACACTGTAGGTGAAGAAAGACCAAAGTGGCTTTATGTTCTGCATCTTCTGAGGGCCAAACAGTAAAGGTTGGTAATCCTAGTTCACCATTTCAGCTCAAATACAACATCTCTGCATGCCTGGGTAGAGTTTCCACCGCTACTTCCCTTCTTTCTGGCCATTTGCTGTACGACTTTCAGGTGAAGAGGAAAGAAGAGGAGACACAGCTGGAGGAGGTGGAGATTAACCGCCCCCCCCCCCAATTACATACCTGGTGGCTGCTGCCTGCCATACTTGTGTTTGCGCACATGTGCGTCCGGTGGGGGTGGGGTGCACTCTCGGGGTTGATAATGTGAGTTTTGCTTGTGGTGGCTTTTAGGTTCTTAAGAGTTTTATTCCTCTTATATTTTAACGTCTTAGACTATCTGACTTGGGGTTGTTTCTGGTGCTTGCTGATTGATACACTTATGTTTATTTGCCTTTTCCCCCCTGTGTGTGATTTAATTTCACAGAAAAATTCCCTGAGAGTAGAAGGGGATAATATTTATGTCAGACATAGCAATTTAATGTTGGAGGTTTGTATAATTTAAGAAAACAACTCTGTCCTGATGGCTGCCAGGCTGCTGTGGACGGGAGGTCACGCACAGGCTGGCTGGCACCTTCCTTCAAGCACACTGCATGGACTGCATGGGGGACAGTTCAACTTGGAGTGCATGTTAGCTGTCCCACTTTGTTCTTTTAAAGTGGCTTAGGTAGGACTATATCTACTAGAAGTTTTCTAAATGACAACTGGGGGAAAAAAACAAAAAACAAAAAACGTTCTGTTCAATCAAATGAGTAAAATTTTAATCTAATACTCTTGAAGTCCAGCAGGTAGATCTGTTCTCTCCTAATGGGTCATCTCTGTGGTGCAGAATCTAGAGTAACATCCCATCCTTAATATATATTCACCAGAACAGGTATTTGTTGGTTTGGCATTAAATGGCTCTAGATCCATGTTCACAATTTTGGGGGAATAGTTGATGAAATCCATGCAATTAGGAATGTGGTCCACTTAAAGTAATTACCTTTGAGAAAATGTTGATTCGTAGGTTGTTTGGATTAAAAAGAAAGTGAGAAAGGAAAACCAAACCCAACCAACCAATCAGGTGGGTAAAAATATATTCCCTGTGTTACAACAAGAACGTTTTTTTTGGTTTGTTTTTATTTTTCCCCTTCTTCTTTGATGGTGGTAAAATGGTGAGATATTCAGTGGAGAACCCCAATTCTCAGTAATCTGACTAATCTGGTTGCTTTTGGCAGCTTTGGTAACCATTGGAAATGTATTTTGCATAACTTACTAAGATGCTCTACAGTATAATATGTAACCTTGCTTTGAACAGATGCAAGAAATGTGCCTGATCTCAAGCCACAGTCATTTTTCCATGCCATGCAAAGAGTTTTAGATTATCATGAATTTTTGCAAATGGCTCTAGAAGCTCCTAGAGGAGCTACTATGCTTGTGCATGAATGTGGAAGATCTAATTTTATCAGATGCATGACCTGTTCCTCTGGGAGTGGGATGAAAGCTATAATCCACAGGTGGCCCCATGATTTTGAAATGTAAGAAAAGATTTAAAATTCATTTAAAACTGTTTCCTGAACATTAATTACCTTTTAGACCCACAAATACTATTTATCAGGGCCATTCTAAAAATTCCCACCAATACCATTTGTCAGGGCCTATTCCAGTGAAAATTGACCTGGTAGTTTTACTTGTATCTTTGTCTTGTGTAAGGACCATTTGGTATGTGGGGTGACTGGGCCTCACAGCTGGGCTTGGCAAGTACATGAAACCAGTGTACAAGGTTCCCTCTTTCATAGAGAGGCCAAACAGAAGGAGCCTCTGGAAGCCAGTATTTTTATTCCTTAAGGATTAAAAAGCCATTGCTGAAAATTCCTGGAAAAAGTCAACCCTTGGTTTTCTCCCTCTCTCTCTCTTTCTCTTTCTCTCTCATGATCTTGGCCTGGCTTTTCCATCAGGCCAAATGTGCTTCTGAGTACCTTTCTCTAGTTATACTTCATTTACTATGTTCGCAGAATGCAGCTGTAGTAATAGCCTTAATGAGAAAGGTAAATTTGCAGGAACGAAGTCATAGGCTGCATTTCAAATCCAGTTACTAGAAAGAAGGTGATTAGCCATTTCTAGTACTAGTGATTCCACGGCTTCCTTCTAATAATATAAGTAATTATCTCTTAAAAAAAATTCTAAACAGAAGAAACCAGAACCTTTTAAAATGGGAATCATTAAAAAAAATATGCATTGGCTCTATTTTCAAATTTTGATGAACTACTTAGGTGATAATATGGCTTTTGAGACTTGGCATTTTTCTTGCTTTACTATGTTTTTTTTTTTTTAATCATAAGTTTGCTTTGTCTTATTTTTTGGTTTTTTATTTTTGTCCTGCTGGGATTTTTTTTTTCTTTTTTGGATTTCTGCCCTTTATTACGTTACATATTGCTAGGACCTCGATAAGGCCCAGGAGGACATACTGAGACATCAGGCTAGCATTAGTGAACTCAAGCGCAATTTTATGGAATCCACACCTGAGCCGCGCCCTAATGAATGGGAAAAACGACGTATCACACCTCTGTCCCTACAGACACAAGGGGTATGTCAATAGCTGTTTGTTGGCTGTATGTCTCACTCCAGCTCTTTGATAAAACTCAGGTCGCAAATATGTGATGTTCATTCTCAGAGTGTTAGACAATGTTCCCTACTTTTTAATGTAATTGCTAACAACTTTTTAAATACTAAATATTAACAATGTAATACTTATTGACATAGTTCTTAGTAAATTGTGTGGGTTTCCAAATATTATCAAAAATTGCAGAAAAATTTCACTATTTCACTCAAGTAAACGAGTGGCGATGAAATGCTCTATATGGTGGCTTAGAAACTGGTGTTGTATTGTATTTTATAAGGCTTGAAGTTATGGACTACTGAGATAATAGAATTCACTTGATAATTAAATAATTATTAATTCAAGGGATCTAGGAATACAGATCATATTTAGAATGGTTTAAGGTAATCGCTGTGAGGATAAAGAATTAAACTTAGCTTGGAAAACTAATGAGCCCAGCTGAAAATTTGCAGAATGTTGTGCAGTTTAATACTGAAACCTTGTAGTAATGAAATGTAGGCTACTACTGTTTTAAAACAATTTGCAACCATAACATCTCTCCAAACTCATTCTTCTTCTTTCCATGGCTTATTTCTTCCCACCACCAATGTAAGTGTTTCCTTTTGGAGATATTCTCAATCTATTTCTCCATTTATTCTCATCTGCATGTCTTCTTTTCTGATGCTCCGAAATCTGTTATCAAGCAAGAACTTTCACGGGCTCGTTTATCGTACTTGAGGAGACAACGATCATATCCTATTAAATATGCTGTTTTAAAAAGCGTATGAAGGTGTCACCCGACCATTTCCTCTTTCCCCTTTTCCTTCCAGCCCTCTCATCCCCCAAAGCACATCATCTCTCTCGCCTGGCTTGAATGTTACCAAATGTATGTGCACTTGAGTTAGTCTCATGCTATTATGCACTTTTTTTCTGAAAAAGGCAAAGTTGTTGGTTGCTTTAAATTTGTAAGTTTGTGACAGTGAAAGGGAAATAGCTCTTCAAGAACAGAAGCAAAAATAATCTCTGAACCGAGAAAACAACGGATGGCAACATTAAGATAAAAAACACCAAGGTCTTATGAAGTTTATACAGCTTACGTTCTTATTTTCAGATTTTCTGAAGATATTAATGCACCCGTGACAGCAGTCAGCTTTAGAGGGCTGTGTTTTCTAGAGAAAGCATGTCTCATAACGTGTTAAGATCTTGTCCTCCCTTTATGTCCTGCTTTATCCGGTTCGTTTTGCTGACCCACACAGTTGTTTTATGTTTGTGTTGCTATAGATGTAATGTACTTGTCTTATTTGTTGATTATGTCTATTGTTTGAAACAATAGAGAAAAGGAGACCATCTTTTCAAGGATATTTTATCCGTGAAGGAGAAGCATCAGATGGCAGCCACACGGACAGTTGAAGAAAAAGTCCAGGAGGCAGACAAGGTGTTCACCTTGCATCCTTGGATCTCCTCTGCTTTTCTCCCTTTTCCTTTTATTTCTGTCCACAGCCATAAGATACTCCTTTTTTTCTTCTGTAGTCACCCAAAATTTTGTTGAAATAATTTTTCGAGCATTTAAAAATTAAATTTCTTCTGTAGAAATGTAGGATCATTAGTGAGAAACACCATATTGCAGGAGGACTGGGTTTGAAAATCCACAATTTGAAATGCAGACCTATCAACCAATGTAGGTGATAAGTGACCCCGAGTTTTGATGTATGTGGCTGACAGTCGGGAAACCATGATCTCATGTGAAAATGCACCATTAGTACAATGCTCGTGTGCAGACTGTGATGGTATGAAAAATCCCAAATGCTGTGTGATGTGAGTAACTATTTTTCTAATTACATTTGGAAACCTTACAGATTTTCGTTTTAAAGATTTTTAGCAGGAGAAAGGATTTTGGTGTGTGTCACAGCAGCCCCTCAGATCTCTGTGCTCCCTGCATATATGAAATATCTCTGATATTACCTGGGAAGTTAGCTTTCCGTTGCTCTTCCATCCCTATTCTTCTGCTTCTGCTGATTTTGCTTAGCCAGCTGACTGGCCTGTCATTGGCTAGGAGGAAAGTGCTTAGAGCGTAGTGGGGGAGATAGCAGACTTGGTCATTAGTAAATAGAAAATGTGGGGTACTGAGGAATAAGCATCAGGAAGATGAAATACAGTGTCCTGTTAGAGGGGGATGGGGAAGGTGGCTTTCCCGTTGTGCTTAGGAAACAGATGGCATTGACGTTGAGACCTTAATATGAAGAGGAAGAGAGAGACATGTGAAGATTCTTCCATGTATAAAGAAGAGGAAATGCAACAGCCCCAAGACAAGAACTAGTTCAAGGAACTGAAAGTCCAAGTGACAAGGGCGTTGGAAAAGTCAGAGATGTCAGAGGTCCACTCTGGGTCTTCCAAACCAGACTAACAGCTCGGAATTCTATCATGGCAGTGAAGGGAAGCCATTGGAGAGTTTTAAGCTGGGTAATGACCTAGTCCCACATGTCGGACAGCGATCCCTCTGGTGCTGGACGAGGAAGGGGTCCTAGAGGGATGTGAATGAGAGCAGAAATCAGTAATAAGGAAAAGGTATATCCCTGCCAGGAAGTCTGGTGGTGTTAATCAGTAGACAGTCGCATTCATCAGAATATACAGTGGGGTGGGGGAGGAGGCAGGATAACTGGAAGACGAAGCCTTGCCCTGAAAGAATTGGAGGTGTAGCTGAGATGGGGTATTTCCAGAGCACTGCAAACGAGAAAGATAATGTCATAAAGCTAAACCAAGTGGCATATTTATATACTTTAAAGGTTAGCCTGAAATCCAAATCCTGTCAGACTGTGTATAAAATGACTTTAATATCATAAGTTTTGAAATATTACATACTTTTGAAAATTTATCCTCCAGAAGTATGTCATATGGCAGCATTTGGTCAATGTCTTTGTACTTTTTGAAATAAGAGACCTTGGAATTTTGGGGAAGATGTTGAAAATTCTCATTTTCCAGGCTGTCATGGTTTGGGATCATCCAATAGAAACCATATACAATAGAAATCATTCATTCACTCATTGTCATAGAAGTTACATTAAGATCCTGTTATGTGAAATTTAAATCTGAGATTGACCTCCTGTTACGCTCCTAAATGGTCTATCTATACTTCTTGAAATGGCTGCTTTTTTCTCGTTTTTTTCCTCTCCAGTATCTGCAGGAAAATATATTCTTAACTTGGCATGTACGCAGATTGCTGTAACTGCAGTCACACGTCCTTTCACCCATTCACCCAACATTTATGGGACACTTATGTCGTAACCCCTGCCTCCCCACCAATAACATTTCACTACTATTAGTTAAAAGTGTGTGAGCAGTTAAGTCTACTGGAGTGTTTGGGTTTTAACAGAATATTTTAAAATTTATCTTTGCCTCATCTTCATTTTGCTACTGATTTTGTAGGGTTTCTTGATTATCTTTAAATTGTAATCCTTAAATTAATGTAAATGCATGAGAGTTTCATTTGACAAAAGCTTCCAAATTTCTATAATATGGATTTTATAGATTAAAATTAAAACATTCTTTCTTAAATCTTTTCTTTCTTCCCCTTATTCCTTTTCTTTCTTCCTTCCTTCCTTTTTTTTTTTTTTAAGTAATCTCTGCACCAAATGAGGGGCTCAAATTCACAACCCCGAAATCAAGAGTCCCATGGTTCTCCAACTGAATGAACCAGGCTCCCAGGACAGTAGTAGCTTTTGTTTAAATACACCGAACTTTGAGAATGGCTTCAGTGTGAATATGATTTGAGAGAAATTTGGAAACCAAATCATTTAATGTAATACATAAATATTGTATAGCCTCTTCTGTAAGAATTATGACACACTTGTATTCTCATGAGTCTAGTAGAGATTATAGGACTGTGGTTGTAAGGTACTTTTGAAGATGTTTTATTGAATCATTAAATATGTGGCACTTGAACTCCCCAGTGCTCTCTTACCGGGAAGGACACTCTTTCCACCCACCCAACCCAAAGGGATGGTGTAATTATGGAGATCATAACTAAGCTGAATTAACCCAGATTTCTTTTTTCTCTTCTGAATATTGCAAGTGCTTCTGCACCTCACCCATCTCATCGTCCCTACTCCTCACCCCACTCAGTGCCCATTTCAATGGGCATCTCAGAAAATGCCATTCATTTATTCATTCATCCTTGAGCTCTCCGAACACTAGAGTTTTTTAGGAAGTATTCTTACACAGTTTTGACATTTGCTTTATGGCAACGCTTTCCTGTTGGCATTACAGGTACCTGGGACAGTCCCTGGCTTTCCTGTCATGCCCTCAGGCGGGTTAGAGACTGTCATTTCAAGGGCCAGAAATGGCAACATGAACTTTGCCATCACAGTTTTTCAGGGACAAATGATTTTCACATTGCTCACTTGAGTTTTTCACCTCTGAGTTTGTCTTCCTACTGAGAATTTTTTCTTTAACTGTTTCTTATTGAACAAAGAAAAGTGCTGTTTCTTCATTACATGGCACATTTAGCAGGTCTGAGGGAATGTCTGTGGATTGCTGTCAGAGCTCTCGTTGCACAGACCGTTCAAGTGGTGTGGAGAAGGGAGGAGGCTAGAGGAGCTGGAGTAGATAGGGAGGCCCGTATACAAAATATGGACTATTAAGTGGACCTCAGAAAGGTGGCCGCATTGGCAAGGCCCAGGGCACCTCGGGAAGGGCATTGGAGGCAGGAGGGTGGGGGTCCCTTGAGCTCTGACACAGGAATTGGCATGAGTAGGGGCCCCTGACGAGACCAATCTGTGCAGAAAGAGGCTGACGCCGAGTAGCTCCTTCAGAAATATATGAAATAGTGTTTGATGTGTGGGAGGATCGGTTGTGCTCAGTTTGTAAATAAAGCTTCAGTGATAAACTAAGGCATTTTCTTTAGCTGGCTCCCAGAGGAGGTTAGAGCGAGCTATCAGATGCTCAGGCAGAGTGGAAAACTGGGGTTTAGGCGAAACACCACAGATGCCTGATAGAATCTTTCAAACTCCTTGCCTTTCTCTCAGTTTACACTGTTCTGTGATTCTTTCTTGTGTAACCTTTCCTTTCTTTCAATAGGTCACTGCTGTCTGTTCTGACTCATTGTTAATTCTTTGCTCTTCCTTTTCTGACTTCTTTAGAGCCTAGAAGAGGAGATAACGTCCATTTTGTTTAGTGGAAAGGGCTTTTCTGATAGCTTGAGAGCCACCTTCACCTCAGCCACCACTTGGACAGCAGAGGGCACTGTTGTGAACTGTAATGCACCAGAAAAGCTTTCTTCCTCGCCCTTCTCACAGTTGCCTGAGGTGCATTTTACTTTGTTTCCCGTTTTCAAAAGCCACATATGATTTTTTTTTTTTTTTTAATATTTAGGAACCCCTCTTTCCAGTGCTTTCATTGGTTAAAATTAACTCTTCTGGGAGAAACATTCAAGAAACAATGACTGAATTTGGACATGAGGGACAACTAGAGATTGGATGTTTCTCCTGCTGCTTTTGGTCCCCTTCCCACCCACAAAATCTGCCTAAATTCAGAGAATCATCTAAAGCAGTAAGGCCCAAAGTCTTGAGTTGTTGTGAGAAAGGAAGGCCTCTCTCTAAGGGAAACAAACTGTGTTTGGCAGAAAAGTTTTTAAAACCTAAACTTCTTTCGGGCATGTCTTGATGGTTGCTTATTTTTAAAATTCTGCTCATGTGTAAAAATACGAAGTGCCTGCCATGCCCAATGAAATATTATTTTCATTCCTTGGAATGACCCTTAGGGATTCCCTGAACTTGGGCAGAGCCCATCTGGCCATTTGGGGTAACATAATAATAATTTACTGACCTGGAATAATAATGATGGGATATCTGATTTAGAAATGTTCTGACCACTGGATATCTTTATTTATAAAGAAGTTTATAGTTAAAAGTTACTCACCAAAATAGTCTCAAGAGTTTTTCAGTGTAATATCGGAAACCTCTGGGTTTTCAGTAAAAACTGGAAGGATTTCTCTCATACCCATTTACGAGGCACTAATTTGAGCTGTGAGAACATGGTCTTACCATGCACCTAAGAACGACAGCACAGATCAGAGAGAGTGAGTACATGTTAACGGGTGCTGTCAGAATTATGATCTTTGAGGGCCTTTTGCTCACGGTTGCCCACGGCACTCGTGCTAATAAATGGGATGCTGCTGTCTGATCCAGGACCCAGCTCCAGTCTGTGCAGTCTCAGCAGCTCTGTTGCAGGCTTCGTTTCTGCCCACAGGGTTTAGAAAAGCATTGCCCCACTCCATTCGGCATGGAGATACCTTCCTGAAGAAGTAGGGCTACTTGCACTAGGAGTTATTTTCTGGGGAGATCACAGGCTCTAATGTCACCCGAATGTTAAAAAGTTGGTCAGGCTTATAGTCTATAGTCCTTTCAAAATAAGTTTAAAGAAAATGATAAACTTTGAAAACTCCTTTGCAAGGAAGTTTCTACACTGGTTATCAATAGCAAAGCATAATAACTTCTATTACTAATGTGTTTGAGCAACAGGAATTTATTAAACATTTAGGTATGGTACTACTTAGAGTAAATTTACATCCAAGAAGTAGATGTCTACGGGAAGGAGGGAGGCAGAAATAAACATCTCGGATAATAAACTTGATTTCAGTTTCCAAAGATGCTAGTTGGAGGAGCTAAATTGTAGAAGAAGGCACTTGGAGCCATTATTGACATCCACCCTAATGTTAAAATATCCCTTTTGCCGATCTATAGTGTAGCCTGGGATGTTAATAACCATTTCTGAAACAACATTTTTGTGTTAATAGCTATACGAGACAAAGTATAATTTTGCCATTTACAGCTGTTTTTTAAATGAGCTGGCAGAAAATTAAGGTGCTGTCTCATTAATGTTATATTCATTTAGAAATCAGGGCTTCAGGCTAGATTTTATAGTCTGATTAAAATCAAAACCATTTATTGAATAGGTTTTAAAATTTTGCAATTTCAACTTTAATCAGTAAGCTTTGGTATAATTCAATTTTTTCCTACCCTTTCAACTAAGTAAGGAGAGTGGCTAGGTATAATCACAATAAAAGCATTCTGTGTCTTTGGGAGGACATTGGCTATTCCGTGTTTTTGTTTCCTTTCGTAAGCTCTCTGCATTTTTGTCTGGATTGTCCTCATGTGACCTTGAGCAAAGATTTTTGTAGATGTCGATTCTTGTTGTTCTGTCTTTGCAGTGTCAGATGTTTGTTCTGGTGGGTGTTGAGGTGTAAAACTTTATTGATTTGTGTCCTCGGTTGCTTTTTGTTCCGCAGAAACGCGCTCCCGAGTCAGAAGGGCCTTGCAGTGGAGCCTGTGATGCTGTTGAGGTTCTCCCCTTTTCCATGTTCACACCATCACCTGACGTTTCTGATCCCCTCACATTCTCCCTGCTTCCCTTTCAGTCAGCCATCACAATCATCTTTGTTTTTCTCCATGACATGAACCACCTTCATTGGTTAACTTTGGTTTCCGTTGTTTTTTATTTTTGTTCTTGTTTTTTTTTTTTTTATTTATTCATCTATTTTTGTTTTCCCTCATCCATTTTTTTTTTTTGTGCAGAGTTCACATGAGACTCTGAATGTAGTGGAGGAGAAGAAGCAGGCAGAGGTTGGGAAAGACGAAAGAGTAATCACGGAAGAAATGAACGGTAAAGAGCTATCACCTGGGAGTGGTCCTGGGGAGATGCGTAAGGTGGAGCCCCTGACCCAGAAAGACTCCACCTCCCTGTCTTCTGAGAGCAGCAGCAGCAGTGAGAGCGAGGACGAAGACGTGGGCGAGTACCGGCCCCACCACCGTGTGACTGAGGGCACCATAAGGGAAGAACAGGAGGAGGAGGAGGAGGAAGAAGAGGTGGAGAAAGAAGCCGGCCGAGCAGCCAAGGTAGTAGAGAGGGAGGAAGCGGTACCAGAAGCCAGCCCAGTCAGACAAGCAGGTGCCAGTGTAAGCACAGTAGAAACAGTGACCCAGGAAAATGTAGTTGCCCCAAAGATACCTGCAGAGAAGAGTGTAAATGAAGGCGCCCTTAAGCAAGACATGTGCGAAGAAACAGAGGACGAGCAACATAAAGTTAACGGAGAGGTGTCTCATGTTGACATTGATGTTTTGCCACAAATTATTTGTTGTTCAGAGGTAAATGGGAGACTCGAGCGGGAGCTAAACTCTAGAGCTGTTTCTCAGGTGGAGAACACCTGCCTTCCTTCTCCTGTCCTCCCGATCCTCCTCCAGCTTTTTCTACGAGATTCTGATCTTTCTCTCTCCTGGGAGGAAGGGGAAAAAGCACTGCTCTGTAGATTTTCTGCCAGCCCCGTTCACGGTTTCTGGCTTCTTTCCTGCACCTGGATCCGCCTGACAGAGTAAACTGGCCTTCAGCAGCCACACCATTTTTTCCCTTCTCGTTTCACACTTCAATTTTTCTTTGCATGTTTTGGATGTTTTCAACTGTTGTCTTTAGTTACACTGCTTCCTTGTGCTAAATGCCTTTTTCGTTGGTTTAATGAGAAAATTGTATCTGTATTGTTGGCAAATGGTCAGTGTGAGTGTGTGCGTGTGGCTCTCTCTTTTCATGATTGGGTTTGACTTTTTGGCCGATTCTCCCTCCAGCTTTAGATGTTCAGAAATGGCAGCTGGTTCTAGTTACCGTCGTGCTCGGAGTCCAGCATCCGGCCGTGATGAGAACCTATTTCTCGAATACCACTGTGATTGCTGTTTTTAGATTACAGAGAGCATATGGATTGGTTAAGAGCATTTTCTTTGCTTGTGAGCAGCCAGAGGCTAGCCTGTTTGATAGGATACTTTTCTCATTCTGTCCTCCAACAGTTCTAGATGATTTGCAAGTTGATCATCTGTTTCCTGGATTATCTATATTGGATGGGAGTCTTTTAACTTTTTCTCCCTAAGAAAGAGAACTCTCCACACTCCTGGTAAATTAAGTCTCAGCCCTGAGGTGCGGGTATCTCTGAACTGGGAGTCAGAGTTATGCTGTGAGAGGGTTTATCTCAATGAGACTTTCCTGATTCTAAAAGTAAATGCCCACAATAAAAGCATTATCCTAATAGTTGCTCTCTTTGATGGGCTGGAAAATCTTGAAGTGACTTTCGCTTGAAATAATTAAATGAATTTTTACTATATTTTAAACTTCCTGTTTCACTTCGGAGAAGATATTTCAAGAGTCTTTGAATGCTCTGAACTATTATTTTCTGCTTTTAACATATGGTTTTTCCTCTTTAAATAATTACATTTGGAAATTTTCTCTCAAAGTTCTGTAGTATTTTGGTAGTAGTATGGTCTGGTGTTGTATTAAACCTACACACTCAGCAGACTACAATGCCAACAGGCCGTGACCCTGCTCTCTAATGTTTGCATTGTTCAAAGCCTTAATGCAGTGTTGGTGGAATAACTCTGAATGTAATATTTTAACTTATGGAACACAGAAGAAGCCCTGCAAATTTTAGACAAGCGTAACTGAAAAAAATCATACTTGAAGATATTCTTAAAGTACAATCTCTTTGTCGGTAGGGTAGAAGAATCTTTTTGGGGGAAAGCTTGGTCTTCCTAGCTGATGTACCAGTTGAAGACAATGAGCCTTCACACAAACCACGTGGCAAACCAAACTGCGGCAAAAATTGAGACCGGTCACTTCACATAGTTCATTCCATTTTGTTTTCTTTTCCATTTTGTTATAACTTGCCCCAAAGCTAAAGCTTTTATGTCACTGTGCGCCCCACATTTGACATATAATTGGGAACATGGTAATTTGAAGTATACCATAATTTAGGGGACCATTATGTTAGCTTTGTCTTCATACACACACACGCACATGATATTTGAAGGAGAATGTTTTTCTTTTGTGTCTTTTATTTATCTTTACTCTTTTGCATGAGTGTGTGTTTGGATATATTTTTTACAATTATTTTTGAAGGCTCCATTAAACACTTTTACTTCATGATCTCTAGAATTTATTTTTCCCTTCCTTTCCACCTCAGCCACCAGTGGTAAAAACAGAGATGGTAACAATTTCTGATGCCTCACAAAGGACAGAAATCTCCACCAAGGAAGTCCCTATTGTCCAAACTGAGACCAAAACCATCACATATGAATCTCCACAGGTACAAAAACTCTAGATTTGGACTACTTGAGTTCTTTTTTTACTTTGTGCCTGTTTTTATTTGTCTTCGAGTTTACGTGTTTCTGACCTTGATGTAGCTTTCCGTATCTTGGTGTCCTCATTGCACTTGATCCTGCTATATTGCTTCTTAGATTATAACAGAGAGCTGCAGTCAGGTTGGTGGCCCAGCAATTCTACAGGGTTATTTATACAGGATTCCCTACACAGGATCATTTAGGATAGGCAGTAGCAATCTCGTCCATGTTATAAGTCGTTCCGTGTATGTTGATACACACTTGGGAATCAGATCATCTTATGAAGTTTATTGGATCTGATGTAATTTGCAGATTAATAAGATTTAGTCTCCCCCCACCCCCAACTCTGTGCAGATAGATCCAGTCAACTCACTCCTACTTGCCAAGTGTACACACACACACACACACACACATACATCTGTGCTTCTTCTTCACGTTGGATTATTTTCTGGAGACATGTCGATCTTACGTAAATATGATACTGTGTGTCAAAATAATTATCAGATTTGTGTGTTTAATTTTAGACATTGATTTAGACATTATTTAACATTGATTCTGTAAAGATTTGAAATAAGTATTAAGATATCTAACCTTAAGGGTAATAAAAAGGGGAAAGCGTTCATTATTTCAAAATGAAACTGTTTAGAAATTTATACAACTATTTTCTAAACTGAGAAATTTAATATTCTATAGTAGAATTGTACCGTGGTGGAGGGTGGCAGATTATTGACCTCTCTCAAAATCTTTTTTAAGAGGTTTAATGTGGGTATGTTTAAATACTTCTCAAAATTATTTTAGACACATTATGTATGTGCCGAGATCCACCTAAACAGCTTTCTGATGAATGGGTGTGGTGGGAGAGCATGTGCTCATGTGTCTATATTACAGTAAATGCCCCAGTAAAATACAGGTGCATGACTCAAATTTAGAGAAATTTCCCCATAACTTAGTCCACAAGGCTCCGGGCTTTCTGGTTATTTCCTTGTGTTAATGGCGGGGAATGGGAGACAAGTATGTTTGGTGATCTTCACATATACTCTTAGGCTATTAATCTGTGTCGTATTTCCCCTGGTCAACTCTAGAACTTTCTACCTTTTTTAGTGTCAAAGCAAATAAGTCAAAACCTATTTAGATATATGCATGGGGTTTATAGATGATACATGTAGAGACAGATCACACGCATGCATGCGTATTAAAATCTATGTACCCATATATGCTCATGACAAACTATTACAGGAGCAATGTTTTTTTTTTTTTTTTAAATCTACTAGAGATAAGCAAATTACCAAAGCACACAGGTTTAGTCTATCCTAGTCAGGTTCTATGGCTTCGTAAATAAGAAAACGTTTATCTGTTTTTACCACCTGTGCTTAAAAAACAATGAACTCAGCCTTTCTGGTCTCTGTGGAAACTTCTCTGTCTGGTTCTCTAGTTTCTTTTTCTAGCTTCTACAAAAGGCCTTCGGTCAAATTGTCTCATGACCTTATAGCTCTCAGTCCCGTCTTCTTCTTGATTCTTCCTTTTTTTTTTCCTCCCTCCTAGGGGATTTGCTTCTCCACGTGCATTGAGCTTTTGCCTTTACTCTGTTTAAACGCCAGTAAATCACCTCCTCCTGCTCAGTAAATCACTGCTACAAACGTGCAAAGGATAGGCAGATAACCTCTTCTGCTGACCTCGAAGATTTCACAAGATGCATATTCGATGGGGAGGGGTTGTATCTGACAACATAATGGAAATTAAGCATTACTTTGTATTTTTCCTCCAACTATCCAAAGATTGACGGCGGGGCCGGTGGTGACTTGGGGACATTACTGACGGCACAAACCATCACATCTGAGTCCGTGTCGACAACGACAACAACACATATCACCAAGGTAAAGCAATCCAGGGTGGGACCTTGCAAACAGGATCCTTTCTGAATCGTTTCTTTGTTCCTACACAAGCTTCAAAGTAATAGACTGTGCCAGTGGAATAGAAGTGGCCAGACTTAAAGTATCCAAGAAATTGGACTCCATTGACAAATGTATTTTTATAAAGTACAAGGGTATAAAAATAGGTCATGAATAACTGTATGTCAGCCAGCTACAGGAGAGAGAGAGAGTATCATAGAAGTAGAAGCATAAGTTTGGTAAGTACAAATGAACCCTCCCAACTGAGGCAAGTGAATGAAGAACCATCATTCAAAATTTTTAAGCAATTGTTCAAATAATATAATTTTCCCTTCGTTGATTTAAGATGCTCATATAATGGATAGGGGGCATTTTTGAGATCATTCTCTCATTCTCCAAAGTTTTAACACCAGATGACCAGTGATTCTTAAAGTATGGTCTCCAGACTAGCAGCATCAGTCTTCCCTGGGACTTGTTAGAAGTGAGTCGGTGGCCCCACCCCAGATCTCCTGATACCCTGGGAGTGGTTGTGGGAGCCCTCCAGGTGATTCTGACACCTGCCGCCGTCCTCAGATTTACTTCTACCTCTCCCATTCCATGGGCGCCTGATGGTTTTAAATGTATTCTTTATACCCTCCTCACCCTGTATTTCAGCCAGAAACTTTGTGAGTTAAAAAAAAATGCCACATAAATATAAAATGGTATTGTGCTCATTTTAAAGGCTATCCAGTTAGGCTTGCAATAAACCTGGTTTCTTGCAGTAAAGTGCTATCAACTGGGACTTTGTGTAATTTATCAGAGCTGTGCTTTCTCAGGACTGTGTGGTATTTGCTCGTAGTTCAGCGTCACAGCCATATGATCCCTTCGGCCTCTGTCGTGTCCCAGGGCTGCTCATGCGGTCTTTGTTGGCAGCAGAGTAACATACAGAAACTATCACTGAACAAAAATCTTTATATCACCCTCATGTATCTTCTATATCTTAAACCAGATCCAAGTCTTCTTTTATCTTACTGCACTAAACCAAATGAACAAAATTACCAGGGGATTTTTATGAGAATCAAGCAGTCAAAACTATGACATCAAGCAATTCCCACACTTAGACCAGGGACCTAAATTGTTAGAATTCCTTGTAACTCTACATAAACCAAAGAATTATTTCTTCTTTCCTCTCTTAACAAATTAGCCAATTGGGAGTAAAGAAACTCCAGGAAATTGTAATGGAATGTCTCAAAGGAACCACTTGGATTAAGTGGTACCTGTCGCATCTTAATTTCCCTTGAATCTTGATGAATTAGTTGCTTTCAGTTGAGGAAGACTTACGGATGCTACAACTTTAACAATAGGAATCTCTGCTGAGCTTAAACAGTTTCTGGAATGTCCATCTTCTCCACTCAGTGCGCATTGCCTTAATCAGAAGGTCTAGATGTGTCTTTTCTTTGCTCTCATTAGGTATATACATACTTCAATGATTGCTATCTCTGTCCTTTCATTTCTTTATAACCTTTAGACTGTGAAAGGTGGAATATCTGAAACAAGAATTGAGAAACGCATCGTGATCACGGGAGACGCAGACATCGATCATGACCAGGTAAAGACCTGAATTTCTGCTTCTGAAAGTGACCATGTCTCTAAGTGGAGCGTGTGTCGTCATGTCATATCCCAGGGTCAGATCCCTTCTCCCAGGGCCTCCTGGAAGAATCCACCTCCTAAGCATGGTGTAAAGACACTTCCTGACCTAGACAGCCTTTCAGCCTTCCTAACACCAAACCAGCATAAAATGTGGATTGCTGTTCATTTCCCACTGACTCCAGGTGCACTTTTGAATCCAAATAATTGAGAGGATTCCTGGTGACCATTAGTTATTCACGTGGGCCTCACTTAAAGGCAAGTCATGGATTAAAAAAAAAAAAAAAGAATAGCGGTTTAATGACATTGACTTCCAGTTTGACTTATGCCTACTTTTAGGAATATATATATATATATATATATATATATATATATATATATATTTTTTTTTTTTTTTTTTGGTAAAATTAGAAAAATTGGGCTCTTTACCCTTCAGTGTTTTCCCCTAATTATTACTATTATTGAGGAAAGGGAGAAGGAAATCTGAGGTATCTTACAAAGTAGAGAATTTACATGGATTCAGAAATACATTTAAAAGAATTGTGCTTCCATTCTAATGTTAATGAGCAGAACACGTGACTTTAACAACCGGGTGATGAGTGGGACTGGTGGTGACTTTGAGGGTAGTTTTCATTTCATTTAATTTTTTTTAAAAGATTTTTTTATTTATTTGAGAGGGAGGGAGTGTGTGCTCACAAGCAGAGGGGGAGAGGCAGAAGGGGAGGGAGAAGCAGGCTCACCACCGAGCAAGGGGCTCAAATGCAGGGCTCGCTCCCAGGACCTTGGGTCAGGACCTTAGCCCAAGGCAGATGCTCAACCGCCTGAGCCACCCAGGTGCCCCGAGGGTAGCTTTCCTTTTAGGCTGCAGTCCCAAGTGATGTGAGTTTTTTGTTTTGTCATTTTTTCAGTGATTTGAACTCTACTTTAAAGGAAACCAGGCTATTTTTTTTTTTTTATAACAACTTGAAGGAAAGGAAATGTTCAATTGACCATCTCAGCTGGGAAGTCAGAACAGATGAGAGTTACCCAGCTTTAAACACAACACTGAACTCAGGAAAGAATTTTAGAGAACAGAACTACTCATTTAAAAAAAAAAAAACAAAAACTCAAGTCTATGTGACCAGAGAGAAATAGATTTTCTTCTCTGCCTGTAAGGAAAACTACATTCTGTAAACCCCTGTAAACATGATTTTCCTTCCATCTTTCCTAATGTATTCTTTTCATTTCTTGAGAGCTATCGGAGGTTAAAGTGTTGCCCTGACTCTGAATTTGGACTTTATAGTAGAGATTCCTAGTAGTTGACTAGGACCTGTGTCTGTTTGCTATGGGAAAATGAATGACCCCGTGGAAACCAAGTCTCCTATTCTCCAGATAGAGGATTTCTTCTCTGCTGGGACAGTTTTGAGCTCCTCTGACCTAAGTCGGGCAAACTCTGTTCTTTTTCCCTCTGGGACTCTAGGTCAGCCAGCATTTATTGAATTCTTATGGTGTGAGAGGCAGGAGCCCACATTCTTTGGCATGATGAAAAGTGAAAATCAAGGTCTTCTCCCAGCCTTTGTTTCTTTCACCTTGTCTTTCCACTGAACTGTGCACCCTCTGGCTTTCTGATGCCATGTTTTCCTTCAAGGATTACTCTTGGGTGTCATGTGCATTCTTGTCTTTTGGCCTTACTGCCTCTGAATAGCAAATAAAGAAAACACAGTTTGAAATGTAAGTACCAAAATAACACATACTCCTGACTCTTAGATTAAGGAAAAACCCGCAGCTCTACCTGTGACTGCAGGGACACGACCTTGTTTGTGTGATGTGGTGCTTTAGCACATTTTCAGACCAAGGGCAGATACCCACATGACAGAAGAGGTATTTGACTTTTCATAACTTTTTCATGTTTAATTATAAGATGCATCAACTTTTTTGAGTCCGTTTACTTGTGGCTTCTGGTATTCTTATACTGGGAGCTCGTGAACTCCCTGTGTCCTTACAGCCTGTAATGAGACCGTGGAAGTATTTAAAATTAGAGAAAAATCACTTCCCTGCCAAAAACAGAAGCTGATCACGTAGTGACTTGAATATCATTGACCCCCTTTTCAGTTCCTTGCCGTATATTAGAAGAATTTTAATAGTGGAAAGAAACCCTTCCTCTGAGCAAGATAGGAAAAAGGGAATCGTGCTATTTGAGATGCTGGCTTTGCAGGAGTTCACCCTGTGTGTGTCCTGACACTCTGCTCCGCACCAGGGATGTAGGACACTGCACTAACTCCCCAGAGTGTCTGTCTCTTTCCAGTAAAATAACTTTTCAATTTGGCAGGAGCATGTGATAATTTTCTCACAGTCTTTACTGGTGCCATCATAAATTAACATTTCACAGTATTTAATTTCGTGTACTGATATTAAAGAATGATCAGAATTAATGGTACACGGATTTCAAATGTGTTTGAGGACAATTAAACTGTTTTTGGTTTTCCCTACTTTTCTGCTAATTAAAGCCTGTTTCACATATGTTCCCTTCCCTTGGGCATCATTTGTATTTCCCCTTTGACATTTGTACTGGTTTAATGTAGGCAGATCCTTGTAATGAACGTGAGTTAAAAAGTATCTGACAAGCTGTCTGTAGCTACATTTGGCTCCTATCAGAGCTGTCGCTTTCCCAAACTGGATTCCAGAAACCGATGTGGAGTAGTCCATTTTGATGGTTCCAATCGCTCCTGTCCCTCTGAACACACAAATCCAGAGTGACTCGGCTGTACTCTGTCTCCCGTCCCCACCACAGATACCTGCTGACACCTCGCAACCTCCTCCCTTCTCCCCACCCTACCCCCACCCTCCAGCCTGCCTGCTCCTGCCACCCAACAGACAGTTGTGCTGCTCTCCTGGGAGGGTCCCCTGTTTGAGCTCACTCTTGTCCTGACACCAGTGGGTCACCAGAGTTCATTCCCTAGTGGAAATTTAAGCACCCTCAAGTGTCTTCCAAGCTTCTGTGTAAAAATTTGGGGTATAAAACCAATTTCTTTTTCTATAGCTGTACCTTTGTGTGTGTGTGGACTCAGGCTCCAGGTTTTGTTCCATAACCTTTCAGCTGGCAGGAAGCATACTGCAAGTAAGAAATGTGGTTGTCCCCTTAGGCAGATGATTCCAGAGAAACAGGAAAAATTACACTGCTGCTCTCAAATGTGTAGTTTCTATATGAGATCTGGTGCTGTCTTTCCTCGAAGACTTTCTTTTTGTTTTAGACGTCGTTCCTAGATTTTGAGTGATGTTCTATGGTGTTTTGCTTTCTCCCCAAGACATCTTGAAATATCTTTTGCCTCAGAAAAAATAGGATTTTTCCACTTTGTCACAACACTCACACGTAGTTTACTTTCTGATAAAATACAAAGAAGCTTTGCTTCCTGACTGGTCTGGGAAGAGCCCATGAGGCGAGGGGCGGGGGCGGTCCTGCTCCTGCCCCACAGCCTAGCAGCAGGATGGCCTTGAGCATGACCTGTTGACCTCTGCACCCTTGGTGGTTTTTTACTGTAAAACAGAGACCTACACTTGCTAAAAAGCGGTCTCTCTTGCTTCACTTCGCTGACTGTGTGTCCCCATTGCTGCTGCTGTTTTTATTGTTCTGGGCCCTAGAGGTTCCTCCAAGTCTCACGCAAGTACAAGGCTGGGGTTCAGAGTCTGCACGTTTCCCTTACATGCATTGTTATTTGAAAAGACTGGAAAATGGGAACTGGGGGAAATGAGAGGCTTCTCTAAAATGAATATGAGCCCATTTCACATCCCTGCTTCCTCAAAGCAATAAAACCATGTTTGCCGGAGATGGAGTCCTGGTTGAGTGGTGTCCGTGTGTCTGGTTGAGTGGTGTCCGTGTGTTCCACCGTACCACGAAGCAGTCTGTCCTCCCGTCTCCCTACTCACGGCGCTCTTTTCTGACCCTGGCAGGCGCTGGCCCAGGCCATCCGGGAAGCCCGAGAGCAGCACCCGGACATGTCGGTCACAAGAGTGGTGGTGCACAAGGAAACGGAGTTGGAGGAAGGGGAAGAGTAAGGAAGGTAAGAGAGGCTGTATCGCCCGGGGCCTCTGTCCTGGCTGTGTGTGCACCTCGCCCTGCCCAGGGACAAGAAACGTACTTCTCCATCACGGTGTCTGTCTCCTGTGGTCCGTAGGAGTCTTCAGACTTCATTAGCCCAAGTTCCTCTGCTTACGTTCCCTGCATAAAATTATAAACTCTGTTGACCGATGGGCATGTGATGTTATTAACTGCCATGTTTTGAACACTGCTAATAATTGACATTTCTGTGTTGTTTTACTACCTACGAAGTACATCAGTGTAAGTTCTCTTTATTAACGTTCACAGTGACCCTTTGAGGAGGGTGCTACTGCCTTCATTTAAATGAGGCATTTTTGCTGTAGGGGGCACAAAAGGGAGATGAGTTAATTCCCTTAAATACACACAAAGAATTGTATATCAGAGAATGAACCATAAAGGAAAAGATTGCTTTGGCTGCATAAAAATTTTAAAACTTAAAGGATAAAATGACAAAGTTCAAGATACCTGGCAGAGAAGGAGTCAATATCACGACTCTGTCACTAACTCTTCTGTCTCATCAAAAAATTCAAGCACTCAAGTAGAGAAACAGGCAAAAGATTAATCCAGTAACCCAGAGAGAAGCTAAGTGAACAATAAGTAAAAAATGTTTAGCCTCATTATGGTTTAAATCAATACAAATTAAAAATTCAGTGTGTAAGTTTTCACTTATAAGCCTGGCAAAGTTTATGTTTTTAGCTTGTGTTGGGGAGGTTGTAAGAGAGAAAATGATACTCTTCTGCTTTATAAACTAGTAATACTTCCTGGAGGACAGTTTAGCAAAGCCCACATTAAGCATGCCTACCATTTAAACCCGTGTTATCAGAGATGTTTGTAGAAAGGCTTACAAGAGTATTTCTTACAAGAGTATTTCTCACATCTTTGTTAGTATGCATAAAAATCTAAATGGCCCACAGTAAGGATTGCTTATGCCTTAATGCTGCTTCTGTGTGATGACTAAAACAGAGCCATTAAAAGTTATGCTAAAGAATTACTAGTGAAATGAGAATGTTCAGAATTATGTATGTATTTAAAAAGTAAGTTTTATTGCATAGCATGTATACCAAGATTATTTTTTTGTTTTTAAAATGATCTGTACACTGACTGGTTGATAGCCCACAGGCAGGGCTGGCCACAGACGACTGCACATCTTCCAGCTTGGGGTTAGGCCAAGTGCTTTTCCGCCACAGGAGGTCATGGCTCCCACCATTGCAGCAGCTGAACTGATTGATAAGAAATGACATCTGACTTTCTTGTTCTTACTGATCTTCATAGATTCTGCATACTAGTCCTTTGTTAATTTTTATGTGTTGTGAATATCTCCAGGTTTGTGGTTTGTCCTTTATTCTCAGTATAGGTCAATATAGTTGTTGGTATACCGAGGTATCGAGTGTAGTTATTAATGGAAGCTTATATAGTTCAATTATCATGCTTTCCTTTATGGCTTATGCTCTTTCCATACCCCTAGGTGTTAGGGATACTCTCAATCCAGGTATTTGAACGTTGCCTTTCACAGATCAATTCTTAATCCATAAGAAATTGGTTTTTCTGTGTGGTGAAAAACAGCACTGTTTTTTACTTTCGTTTCCTTGAAAATTAGCCAGTGCGTGGGAGGGTTTCTGAGCACTTTAATTTCCATTAGTCTGACTGTCTGTCCCTGCTCTAATGCCAGACTGTCTAAATTACTATACCTTTAAAATGAGTCTTGGTATCTTGGTATCCCCAGCTGTGTTTTTTTTCTTCAGGAGTGTCTTGTCAATTCTGGGCTAAAGCTTTCCATTGCATATAAGCTTCAGAATCAGGTTGTTGGGTTGTAAGATGACCTTGTGGTATCTTCATTAGAGCTGCATGTGGTTTGTAGCTCACTATGGTGAGAATTACATCTTTGTGATGTAAAGTATTCTTCCCCACAAGCATAAAATATCCCTCTTCATTTATATATAATATTTTTAAATGTCTCCCAATAAAGTTGTATAATTTTTTAACCCAAAAGAGGTCTTATAAATCTTTTCTAGCTCTTGCTAGTATAGGAAGATACCAGTGACTTTTTAATATTCGTCTTGTATCTAGCAACCTTACTCTTTATATGTTAGATGCTATTTTCAACACAGGGTGTACAAAAGGCCTACAAGGAGAAATCATTTAAAATTTGAGCACAAGCAAAATATCCATTTAACTGAATAAATGTGCTCTGTTATGTGCAAGGCTGAGCACTCTTAGCTAGCCGTCAGAAGATCAAGTGCTCTAATCTTGCTGGATCTGACTATGTGACATTGGGCAAGTCAGCAGGGCTGGTCCCGTCCACCTTTACTAATTCACAGGACTTATTATAAGAATATAATAAGGTAACCAATGAGAAAATTTAGTGTTATGCAATTATAAGTATTTTTCCTGAATTATGTTAATCAGGAACATAGGACAAAAATTAGTGGCCAATGTGAGCATTACCAATACCCACTTTCATTGTGGCATTTTAATAAGTTTTAAAGTGAGCTAGTTGTATCCGTTATTCCTAGCACCCTATCCTCATTTTTGCAGTGGGCATGCGTGTACACACACACACACACACACACACACACAGCCTGTGAAGTTTGCCTATCTTAGAGGACACTTTTTTAGGCAGCCCTGCTAAACAGATTTAGGCAGTTAAAATGTAAATTCTCATGTAAGGTGAGCAAACTAGATAAATGTGGAAAAATTCATTCATCCAGTCCAAAAAATATGAGAACCAAAGTGTGCAAGGGTAGAGCTGGGCACTAAGGATGCAAATGGTCAAACTGGGAAACAAACAAACAGGGTCCCCTTCCTCGGGAAAGGATCCGGTCCATGAGGGGAGGTGTAAATATTAAGAAACAAAATGTAATTTACAAATGTGATAAACGCTCTGAAGGAAGTAATGCGATAGGAGAGAACCAAATAGATTTACGCTGCTGTAAATTTAAGCTTTCCCTTGAGAAAGCAAGTTTGCGTTGAGATCTGAAGGACGAATAGGAGTTGCCACTTCGGTTACCCGCTGGCTGCCCCACCAGGATGCCACAGAGGCAGCAGGTGGGCCAAGGCCAAGTGCAGGCCTGTCACTGAATGCCAGAAAAGAAGAATAAGTACTTACTGGTGGTGTAAGTACGCCCCATCTCCCCTTCTCCGACATGAAAAGTTCTCCTCCTGATCTGACCTGACCTCTTCCTTTGGAGGAGCTCTGAGCTTGGGATGAAGCACTGAGAGTGGGAGGCGAGGGGAGTGCACAGAAAGGTAGTGGAGGAAGACCCACTGAGGGCAGAGCCTCCCAGGGCTTCCGCTCTCAGCTGGGTGCCAACCACTGGAAGGCCCAGAGGAGCTGCCACAGACTCCGTGAGAAAGGAAACACGTTTCAGAGGAGTACTTGACTAAGTCTTTGTAGCTGTTTTTCTCTATGTTCTGTGAAGCACTCCTCCCTTCCCAGTTTATCCTAAATGCATGTTTATGAGCCCTCAGCTAGACACAATACGTCCGTGGCCTTGTCGCCACTGGAATGGTGCTCCCGAAGAGTCCGCATGAGGAAGAAGAGTCCTGCTTGCTGGTTTGGGCTGCGAGGCCTCAGAAAGGATGAGCCCCAGGAGGGGGAGTTGGCAACTTTGCTTCAGTTGTCTCCATCCCCTCTCTGCACCCAGACTTCAAATAAGTCCCGGTGACTCCTGGAGTCATCACTGATGTGTAGGATAAAAAGCAAACAAGGCCTCCTTTTCAGCTAAAAGCGTGAGCTGCCAAAAGAGGAAATGATGGGAGAGCAGCGTCTCATCCGCTCACGTATTTTACTCTTGTTGTTGTTGATTATACCAGTATATACGGAATGCCCATTGGGTGTCATCTATTTACCGTGAAGGTTCACACCAAACAAGGTCTGCACTCAGCAGTAAATCATGGTAGCAGGGTACAGTCTCTGCCTTGAGGATGTGTTCTGAGCTGCATTGGGTGGGAACAGAAAGGCAAGATCTCTACATTAGGATGGGGTGTCAGATGGCTTCTTTCAGGGGAGTAGGAATAGCTCAGGGAAGAAAGGCACAGAAGGAGCCACTCCAGGCCAGAGCTGGTTCTCTGAACCTCATATCCCGAGACTGGGGCAGAATCAGGCATGTCCGGGCTGCAGGGCACATGTTGGAGGAGCGAGATGGTTGCTGGGGGGCAGAGCGGCCAAAGCCCAACTCTGAAGAGTCTTACAAGCCAAAATCTGGAGTTCAGCTCTACTTGGAGAAGCGAAGGGGCACGAACACCTCGTGTATTGGGGAGATGATGAGAGGGTAGAGGTCTGTGACTTGGTGACTATTGACATGGGGATATGTAAGTTCATGATTTGGGAAGATGGCCAAGCAGGGGAGGATCCCAGGCTTCTGGCATGAGCAAGTGAGTGGGTGGTGGGAGCTGTAATTTCAATCCTGGGATACAGGTGTTGGTTTTCACAGGTCCTGTGCAACATGGCTAGTCTTCTCAGCTCAGCTGTCTTAAAGCAGAGGTTCTTGTTCTATTTTTTGTTCTTGGTAGTGTAGGAGAACATACCTGCCATGGCATTATGGAGGACGTTTGGAAGTGAATCTGTAAGGGCCTGTCTTCTGCACATGGCGTGGTTATTTGGAAAGTTACCAGATAGTCTGAGTGTTAAGAGGAAATGCAGCATCGCAGATCTGCTGGGTTCAAATCTATTTCGTAGTATGTGACCTGCCAAGTTCTTCACGTTTCTATTCCTCAGTTCTGCCATCTGTGAACTGAGGATAATAGAATTTATAGAAGAGTTTGTTTCCAAGGCATGCTGTAGCATATCGAGTCAGCTATAGGAGCCATTTTTGCTCCTAAGAATAAATTAAACATTGGAATATCCTTCCCCAGGGGTGTTGAGTTTGAGGTGCACGTGAAATGGCTACGTGGAGAGGTCCAGGAGGTCGCCAAGAGCTTTGAGAGAAATCACAACAGGTTCGGAGCTGAAGGTAGAGGTTT